AAGCGCTGCTCTGCGCCCGCTTCGTATGTACTCTTATGTCGTTGCCTCTGATGTTATTGTGGACTCTACTCTTCTCTCTGGCTACGGCCTTCCGTATGTTCGTATTTTCAGCTCTTTGGTTCCTCTAGTCTGTGTCTGTCTATATGCTGCCCTTTTTTTTTGTGGACATGTTTGCCGTCTTTTGCTCAGTGCCTATGGTTTCCTTCCTCATTGCATCTCACTTCCAGTTTAACTAGTACTGTTATTTCATTGTTCAGCACAATTCCTTTCTTATGTGTACATTTAAAGTCTGCTCTCACACCTCTTTTGCGACTTACTGCTGATTTTAATGTGCTTTCAGCCACAACAGGAGTCGTTGCTCTAACCGCTTCGAATCTGCTACTGTCACCAACAGTCCATTTATCCTCGGCATTTGCTGCCCTAGATGCTGCCGCAGCTTCTGTGTTTCCTCCGTGCTGCAGCAGCCTGCAGCTGCAGCAACCCCCTGCTGCAGCAGCCGCTGTCGCGGCCGCCGCTGCAGCAACGCGGGCGTTGCCCGGTACTGCTGAATGGCATCAATTTGTGATGTCAGCTGCAATAGCAGCTACGGCGAATGCAGCGGCAGCAAGTGTTCAGCCCCAACAACGAATGCTTCTGGACGGAGAAGTTTTCAAAAGGTTCTGTGTTGGGCCTGCATATGCAGTGGAGGTGAGATGCGCAAAAAGCCAACAGACAAGCCTCAACAAGAAGGCGCCACCGTAGAGATCGTTCAGGCAGTCGTATTCTTCTATGTGTGCTTCCACTTCTATTTGTACTGCTGCTGCTACAATTTTCAGCTTTTTCGTGAGGTTGTCCCGGTGCCCGTTGTTTCTTGCGTGTTTGCGGCGTTAGCAGCAACAAGGGGAGAGTGCAAGGGGCCCATTCGGCCAAGTGCTACCGCAGCTAGCTTGCTGCTTCCAAATTCTTTATCCCCTGAAACAGCAGCAACAGCAACAGCAACAGCAGAAGCATGTACTGCAGCACCTCCTGCTTCCAGCCACCTGCCAGACGGGCTGTTACATGAGCACCAGCGGCTCCAGAAGCCCTTCAACTAGTTTCACCGGCGATAATATGCAGCAAGATCAACAAAGAGGGATGAGCCAGCAAGTGCTGCAGCAAATCCTGAACGTCTTGTCTTACGAGGACCAGCAGCTTGTTGTTGCTGAGGGAGAGCTGCTTCTTGTTGCAGTGACCTCGCTGCACAACCTACTCGCCACTGCTGGGATTCCGCCATCTTGTGGAACTTTGGAGTTTGCACTGCCGCAGCTCGTGCGACCGCTGCTCCAGTGAGCACGTTTCACGTGCTGCTACTTTTGATCCAGCAGCAGGTGCTGTTGCTGGCTCGGAAAAAACATAGGGTCTGCGGCTTTTGATGCTGCTTCATCTTAGCTAAGATAGAAGAGCTTGCCAATAGATCGCAGCTGTTGCCCCTGAGATTGCTGGTCCCGCCATTTTCGTGTAGTGTATCTAATCCTGTGACGGCAGCAGTTGTCGTCATTGCAGCAGCAGTAGTCGCGTAGTTTGATGGTATTCCTCTACGTCTGCTTGAGGGAAGCACATCAGGAGCTCGTGCTAGTGTGGGAGCTCCGGTTGGTGCTGAAACTGTGGAGGGGCTTACCGGATAAAACTGCTTCGTCGGCGGTGCTGCTGCTGCACTGCTCATTCGGCTATCCCTGTGATGCCAACACTTAGGTTTTGTTTTACAGAAGCCTCATTGCTGCTGTTAATGTGTGCTATGCTTGTCAGGCTTTTCTTCCGTATACCTCGTTCCGACGTGGAAGAGGCAGTTGTAGAGCTACTGCAACTGTGTCAGAAAGACCCTCAGAGACACGTGACCCAGCGACCGCAGCAGGCTTGTGTTTCACTTTCAGACTGTAGCAAAGTTCTTTATGTAGGTCTCCATTTCGTGCCGTGAAACACATGTGGCAGCATATCGCCGCATTGTGTTGTTGAGGCTGCTGCTTTTGGCCGTACTGCTGCTGCTGTTGTTGCGCCTCCACCTGCCAGTCTTGTGTTCGCCCTTGCGTACCTTTTGCCCACAGAAGTTTTCTAATTTGGAAGTTGAGGAGCTTGATGTTGCTGCAGAGCAGCTGCAGCAGTTACTGGAGTTCTCGGGAGACGCTTTCGAGCTGCTGCTGTTGCTGCAAAACATTCGCAACCGCCTTACAGCGGCAAACACGCAGGTGCAGCAACAGCAACAGGGAGAGCTGCAAGAGTGCCGACCGCTCGTTTGCGAAACGGAACCCCAAGTTGCGGCAGTTGCAGAGGCAGAAAGGGAGCTCAGCCACGCAGTGCATCTTTCGCTCTTGCTACAGGCGGCAGTAGACACCGCAGCATTCCGCTGCGTCTTTATGCGATTTCTCCTGCCCCCAGAAAGCCCAAATTACGATGTCGGGGTAAGACTTGCTGCTGCGGGGCTTGCAATTGCGTTCTGCGCATTGTGGCTGCTGCTACTACTGCCTTTGTTGCCGCTCCTGTTTGTGCGCCGCAGCGGCTCGTTTTCGGGGTGTTTTTAAATGCCTCGTTCTTGAGAGCATCCTCACCTGCTGTTGGCACGTTGAATCCCGACGAATGCCCGAGTCCCTCACAGACACACCAGCACCAGGTAGTGCAGACAAAAATGCTATCACCACTCCAGTTTGTGAGGGTAGGTGGCGGTGGATATATCAAGCTTTTCCCACAGATAAACCAAGACCCTGCAGTTGCCGCTGCCAACTGCAGCACAGCTGCAGCGGTGTGCGGATCCGGTGCTGCCGATCCCAGTGATGGATTCACTGCAGTATCTACAACCTGTGTAGCTGCCCCAGCAAAATCAACAACTGCAAAAGAACCGGTTAGAGGAACCATACTACGGAATTGTGAGCCTCATGAGAATTTTTTAACTTTGTCTTTTGACCTTGACCTGGAAACGGTCATTTCATTAGTGGCAAATGCGGATGCGGCAGCTGTTGCAGCTGCAGCCGTTGCTGCATTGCAACAGGAGCAAGGACAAACGGACACGGCGAGCATATCAGGGTATCTCACACGTTCAGTCACATCCGTCGGTGACGCGACTCATGTGGACGACGAAACTATCGAGCAAGCTGGAAGTGAGCTTGGATGTGTTGCTTCGCTCCAGCAGCAGCCGGCGCAGCAGAGCATGCAGCACTCACCGATGCGGCATATTCGCTACAGCAGACAACCCTGGGTCATCCTCACGACTGCCAGCAGCCGCCTCATCCCTTTGGGTGTTGCAATGGCTAACCGCCTCATACGACGAGGCGTTGTAGTAAGACTGACACGCTCGAATGCGCTCTCCAGGCGCCATTTTTGCAGCTGACTTCCCTTACGTCGATTTCTTGCCTTCAGTGCAGTGCTGTCGCCACGGTTGCGAATAGTAGCTCTCGCGCGTGTCTGTAATTACAATTCCTAGCACCATGCGAGGGTTTGGTACTCGTGTCACAGTTGCGGCTGCCTTTGCGTGCTCAGGCAGTGATGAGGATACAGCCTGTCATCGAGGTGTCGCGTTTCCAGGAAGCGCTAAGGCGCCACCCCAGCGTGAAATACCATGTGGTAATACAGCAGCAGCAAAAGACAGGCGGCGGCAGAAAGTATCAGCAGCTGCTGAGACAGCAGCTACTGCTGGAGCAAGCGCACCACCAACAGCATGAACTGCTCCAGCAGTCGTGGCAGTCCACAGAAGATAACCCTTTTTGGCATAGCTTAAACAGCAGTCAGTACATTCCACTGGCTGCCTGCAGTAGCGAAAGAAGCTCCTGTGGAGCTTCCCTGCTCGACACTGCTGTTGCTGCGGCGTCGATGGCTCCCGTAATCTTTAGTCTTACACACCTGCAGAAGTCACCTACCGTTTCAACGGGGGACAGCAGTAGCAGCAGGCGCAAGGCCAAACCCGTCCGCCACTTGACAGCCCACACGCTCATTTCCGTGCTCGTCAATACAGCGCCAAGGCGCTGAGGACAGATGCAGCGACAAGAGCTGCTGTGTGTCCTTCTTCCAATGTGTAGCTCCCATCCTTTCAATAACCGTGGAGCACGTCTGCTGACGCAGCTGTTGTGGCCTTCAGTAGCTACTTTTCTTGTCGGCTAGTTACTTGGAAAGCAAGACTGACTGCTACTCAATTGGGCGTCTGCTAGCGAAATGGGTAGTTGTAAAAGAATGGAGCTAGCTACAGGATTCTGGATGCCCTGCTGGAACGAGCGGCAAAAGCCTCTCAGGCCGCAGTTCCAGCTGCCCAGTTATTTTCAAAATCCCAGAAATTAGAGCTGTCCCAAACACACAGTCCCTCTAGCTCGCAAAACTGGCCCGCGGAACAGCAATGGCGGCAGCTACAGCTCATCAGCGACACTGAAGAGCCGGCGCGACCTCCAGGAGAAAGGTTATACCTGTGGCAATGCTAAATAATTGCTGTCTCACCAAGCGCTTTGGCCCAAAATGAGTTTGTCCCTGTTGCTAGCCACAGGTGGTGCCGAGATGGGTTCTTTCCAGCAGGCTGGGAATAAGTAGCCTAGAGGTATTCTTTGCGGAGCCCTACGGGGTCCGCAGGCCGCAGCGACACATTCTGCAGGGTTTTAAAGCGAGACATACGAGACGACACCGGGAAAGAGTAAAAACCTGAGATGCAATGGCTGTCCAAACAGCGACAAAGCAGCAGAAACACCACTGGCGGTCGCAGCGTATCACCAAACAAAATGTACTATGGGGTACGCTTGCTTCTAGAGTTTCGCATGTGCAGATCGGCTTCCAAAGGTGACTTCATCTGCACACAAAACCGCAGCTGCTGCTCTACTGGACCCTGCATTCGGTGCGGCAAAGGCTTTTCGTAAAGAAAATTTGTGCATGGCTACTGTGAGGTCACATTTGTTCCGTGCTACTGCGTGCCTATGAATTATGCAGCTACGGTGAGGGCAGCGGCTTCGGCTGCTCCAGGCTGAAGGACTTGCCGTTGCGTGGGCCGCGGCATCCCCCCAATTTCTAACGCAATGTCATTCGCCAAGCGAGTCCCGGCGCTGCATCTGCGTCTTAACTGCTTGAAACTTTTCCTGCTGCGGTTGCTGCAGTACAGGCACCTGGAAATGCTGCCCTTCTTTCACGGTCGTTTGCTGCTGCTTCAGCGGATGCGGCGGAGATTGTTGCTGCTGCAGAGTATTAAACTCTTGCTGATATCCACGAAAAAGTTGTTGCTGAGCTGGAAGCTGTTGCTCCACAGGGAACTGCCGTTGCTCCGTTGGAGGCTGCTGCAGCTGCACCGGATGTAGCTGCTCATCCGCAGAAGCCGGCGGCTGCTGCGACCTAATTTGCGGCTGATGCAAAGAAAGTTGCAGCTGCTCCGAGAGAAGCTGCCGCTGAACAGAAGGCTCCAGTTGATGCGGACTATGTTGCGGCTGCTGTGCGCTTTGTTGCTGCTGCTCCGTAGGCGGATGCTGCGGCAGCACGTCAGGGGGATGCTGCTCCCCTCGTGTTTCACCCTGCAGCGTAGGAGGCTCCGGGTGATGCAATGCAGACCGCTGCTCTTTCTCAGTAGGTTGCTGTTCCGTAGGCGGCTTGCCATGCTCTGTAGGTACCGGTTGCCGCAACAGAGTATGCTGTTGCTGCATACCTGGCGCATGCTGCTGCGTAGGTAGTTGCTCCTGCAGCACATGTAATTGCTGCTCTGCTGTAAGAGGCCCATATTCAGAAAGTTGTTCTGCAGGAACATGCTCCTGTTGCTGCACTGGTGGCTCTACGCCTTGCTCCTGCAAAGGAAGTTGCGGCAGTTGTTGTTTCTGCTGCTGAAATACTTGGGGTCCCATTTCCGATGGCCTCTGCTGTATCTGCGGTTGTTCTTGCTGAGCGTGCTGCATTTGCTGCAGCTGCTGCTCATGCTCGCGCCTCTCGCGAGCGAGCCTCTGCAGAATGTTGAATTTATCTCTGCCTGTTAGGGGGTGCGGATGTGATTGATGCAGCTGCTCTTGCTGCTGCTGTTCTTGTGGCTCTGTTGTAGCAACATCGTTTGGCACGGGAAACACTCCCGGTACAGTCTGCCTCTCACTAAATTCCCCAGTAAGCGCAGCAGGATTTTCCGCCTCTGCTATTGAAACACCCTCACTCTTGTTGCTACTGCTGCTGCAAAGGCCCAGACGCCACAGTGCTCGCGACAGCATCAAGTAAAGCATGCAGCAGCAAATGCACACGGCGAGACACAGCAGCACCCAGTGACGCCGGCGAGCTGCCCTCAGCTGAGCAGCGGCACAAGTAGCACAGAGCCGCAGTAGCTATGATCTGCTCTTCAGCAATTTGCTCGCAGCTAAATCAGGTGAGAGCCGCTACTGTATTTCATAAACAGTGCTGAAACATCAGAAGCACAGGAAAATTTAGCAGGTGGTGCGCATGGAAGAGGAAAAACCACAGCTCGATACCGCGAAAAAGTACTACCATGCAGAAACAATGGAAACTACCACGAACAGACGCTGGATAGCGAAGACAGAGACTAACACAGGCAAACAGCGGCAGACAAAAGCACTGTTCTTGCGTACCATGCGAGAAATAGATGCACGTCCTTCGGCCAAAGACAGACCCCAATGAGACGCCTAAAGCAGGAGTCACAACAGCACGAGGCCCAGGATATGTGAAATCTCACCCGGGGAGGCAGCGCCAGAAGGACTGAAGGAAGAGACAAAGGACGAAAAGAAGTGGAAAGAAACGGGTGAAAAGAGGGAGAAACATAGCACAAATCTATGCGGCAAGGCAAAAAGAGGAAGAAAGAGCCTGAGTGAGACAGGAACGGCAAAAAGGCAAGACCCACAGATCCTCCGAGACACACATTACGAGCACCCTTGATCCCTCACATGACTGCGTGTCCTCATAATGCTCTGCCTTTGGGCGGCCAACGTGGCTGAGACATAGCTTCCGACTTGCTCGGTTTCCAATGCCAGCATGTGAGCACGCTGAAGCATCAGCAGAAGCAGGAAGAACCCCAGCAGAAGAAGTAGAAAAAGCTACGTCCTGGCAACGGCAAATAGTGATGTTTGTTCATCTGTCTGTGCCCGTCCCCGTTTGTCTCCTGCTCTCGGAGCTCCCATTTGTCCGTATTTCTGTCCGCAGATCATTATATATTTATCAAGTCTCGCTTTCACCAGCTTGCTCCCCAGCTGCGCCTCCAAAGGACTCCAAAGGACTACCGGTTGTTAGCGTTTCTGCGATTGTCTTCATCTCTGTGGTTCTCTATCATTAAATTCATGCAGACCTCTCTTCTCTCTGTTTTTACCTCTAATTGTTTGCAGCCTTCATTCATCTTCGCCTCCGCCTCCGAAAGGCGCTCGTTTCGGGCTTCCCCTAAAGGCAAAAGCCTTCGAACCGCACAAGTAAGCGCTGATGGCAAAGCACGTACTGTACAGCTTGAGACAAAGCATGACGCAGGTCCGGCACTAATGCCGGCGTTGGTGCGTGAATCTGCATTCGCATCACGAGCAACGCTACCAACGCTAGGAATGGAAGTGCTAACATACTGCTGGACGTAAGAGTGCGCCTCTCTGCGGCGTCGACCTCAGCTGTCAAGGTACGCAGCTGCTGGCGCAGCTCGGCAAGCTGCAAAGGCATCCAGTGTACAAGTGTGAATCCTTGCGGCTACGGTGATTCCTCTCGCGGTTACAGTTGCTTATGCTGCAGTGTTGACAAATTGGTGCAGACCAGGGTCACAGTTGATGCTGTACTCACAACTTGAGAGGCATGAGGATCCTGGGCACTCAATGGCGTTTCAAAACGGGCTTCCAGCTCCAACTGACGCAGCTGAGACGCAAGAATACTGTAAAGGCCAGCAAACCCTTTTCGTGCGCTCACTTAAGGCCTAGAGCTCTCCATTTCTGCAAATACACCACTTATCAAGCTGCCACCCTTCCTGAGTGCGTGCTTAATTCGCACAAGTTCCAGACGACTCTCTTAGAACAAGAAAACGAGCACCGGGACATGAACAAGACACACAGGAAAAAGAGGTGAAGACAAAAGCGACAAAGACAAGCAAGCGAGCGAGGACGCAGTTGATGATGAATCACAGAGAGTGACGCCAGGCTACGCCGTTCGTACAGATTCCGTGCAAAGGTTCGCGTCTCGCCGGCAATTAGCCAAGAGACTCTCTAAAATGGAAGCCTCGTCTGAAGTACAGCAGCGGCAGCAACAACACTGAACAGCTTCTCCTCATCATGTTGAGCATCGCAAACTGCCGAAAACGAAACGGAACAACATGAGCACGCAGCAGCAGTGTCCCAAACAGCGGCAGAAGCTGGACGGAAAATAGCTCATACAAGCAAGTCAACCGCAGAGTCAGTTTCAAAGCGAAGCAACTACGGGCGCAGAAGGGGGTATCAGCCTTACCCCCTCTGTATCCTTTGACCGCATCTACAGACTTGCCGAGACGGCGACACGCTTCCCTACATTCCAACTCCAATTCGCCGATATGACTTTCCATGGCCTCCCGTTATTTATTCTACTGCTTGATGCTATAGAAGCTGCTGTTGGCAGTGGTAGTGCGTTTCTTGAGAGCTGTGGGTGCTATGGGCCCACCAGGGCTCGCGTTGCCCTTGCTGTTCCCGTCCCTAGTTGTTTTCTCTTTCACACGTCCAGCGCAGTTGACGCCCTTTATGCATTGCAGCGGCAATTGCTGCTGTGCTCCTTGCCGCTTGCTTCGCTTTCCTTTACGTTCTGTCTTCTATTTACCTTTCCTGTCAATGCATGATTCGTCGCCAGGAGGAATTGCCGGTGGAACTGGTGCTGCTCTGTCTAAAAGTTCCTATTACCCCAAACAATTCCCCTTGGAACACTGCTGTTATTCAACGGAACAAAACCAGAAGCACCAAAAGTAGCTGCCGCTAGAGGTGAACTACAAATAGTTGTTCGGCTGCAACGGAAAAGGCAATAGTGGAGACAAACAGCTGTTTTAGCGTGAGCCCGAATGTGAATACGCGCTCCTGATTGGAATTTTGCCTCATATTACGGCAAACTCGATGCTGCAGTGAGTTCGAGACCCCCAGCACCAGCAGGAACTGGGCGCTGCGCAAAGTTGCAGAATCGGCTGTTATATGTTGGGGCGGCGGTGCATCCATGTACAACTCAGAACATTATCCGCATCTGCACAGAAAGGTGAAATCACAACGATACGCCAAATACCGAGATGTAAGTAGAGCGATGAACTCTCTGTGTGCACGTAGCCGCGCTGCTATTTTTATACTCCCTGCTGCCGACAGATCACGTGCAGTACCTGAGGCCGCAGCAGACTAACCATTTGTGTGGTGGAGCTACCTTTTAGCTTTTTTGTGCTGAAGAATTTCTTTGTCTCGGAACCAGAATCAACAGTTGGAGCGGAACCACAGCAGCTGCAGCTGTAGTATGGTCGGTGGAGACACGAACGTCACCCGACCGGATGAACTGCTCTTGCAGTGCCTGTTGCAAGGCTCTCTCCCCCCCTATTTGCAGTAGTACCAGAAAGACTGTGACAGCAGGACATACCGGGGATACTGGCCGTCTAGGGACAAACAGCTGCTGCCACCAGTACTGCTACTCCCTTCACCTCTGCTGACTAGAGAAGGCTTTCATGGGCAGAATTATGGGCTACAGAGGCAGTGCTGGAGGTGCGTCTGCCGTTGCGACAATACGCATGCCAGGAACTGCCCCCATTGTGGGAGAAAAAACACCAGGTTCGAGTCAGCTGCAACGTGAGGTGCTGAAGGAGCTGCAGCATCAGCGGCTGCTGCAGAAGGCGCGCACGTGCGGGCCTCTGTTCCTTTCGAAACAGTGTGAGGGCAGCAAAAGCTGGTGGTCCGTAGCTGCTGCTGCGAGGCCGCACGCCAAACGCCGGGTATGGGAGTGGTTTAAAGCTTGTCTGCGGGGGCGCCAGCAGCAGCGGGTCCCACTGAATTTTGGGGGACTTCCTAAAAATATACACTCCTGCGTCGCCAGTAGCTGGTGTAAAGGAAGCAGTGTGTGGCAAATACTTTGGACCGGTTTTGTTGCAGCAGCTACAGCAGCAGCAGCAGCAATGGCAGCCGTATCTGTAGGTGAAAACCTTGTGCAGGGTCGAACCGTTGCCGCAGCAGACACGGAGAGGAGCCTGAAAAGTTGGTTTGCTTTGAGTTTGCTGCAGTGCAGCAGCAGCACCCTATCCTTTTGGGGTGTCTGCACAGCTGGATCTCGAATTCAACAGGCACTGGGCGTCTCCTGCTCCTCCCTCCTATCTAAGCCTTTGGGTCTTCTGACGCTTGCTGTGGCTTCGAATGCAGCAGCAGCAGCTGCTGCTGCTACATCTTTTACATGCGGCAGACTGCAGCAGCTGCATGCACGGGCGACTAGCAGTCATCAAGGATGGCTTGAGACGGCAAAGGAACTGCAGCAGGAATGTCGCGGAAAGTGGGGTGCTTTGCTTCTGCAGCATCACCCCCGATCCACGTCTACTGCCGTCGCTACCTGCAGCGGCAACCGCAAGAGCCTGTTGAGGCTTGTAGTGGCAGAGACACTGGAAGGCTTATTGTTGTACTACTTATTGGGTGGTCGCCTCTTTCGCCTTTCTCCATCCAGCTTAGTTGCTCCTGGGGCCTTCTCACAGCATACCTTGTCGCTGGCAGCTTCTGCGATGTATGCATCCGAGACAGAAAGGCGCTTGATCAAGAGGTTGGGACTGCGCTTTGGCTGCCACACCTGTGGAACACGATCCAGTAGAACTCGCTGGGTAGCGGACCACCAGCCCCCTACCGCCCACGTTCTTCGCTATGAAGAGACGCTTTCGGGAAGGATTATCGGTACGCTACGTCGGCTCCTAGGGGGGCCGAAGTATTGGCCGCAGCGCCTCTATCCCCAGTGCGAGAGCTGCAGCCTCAAGCAGGCTGTAGCTGTTAGGAAGCAGACTACTGCTGCCGTTGCTTCAGGGGCAGCAGGGGCAGGGGCCCCACTGACAGTAATGGCTGCTTCAGCAAAGCTCAGAGACAAGAATATGCTGGCACAGCAGCAACTTGTCTACAGGTGGAACAGCATCAGGCTGTGGCACCTTACAGGGGGCATTCTCACTCTCATTCGCTGTGTAGATGCGTTGTAACATAATGCACTCCAAATCCACTACTAACTCCTTTATGCAGCTGCCGTGAGCGTTCCAGGTGAAGTGAAATTCGTGGGAAGACAACACAGCACACAAGCTACTTGGGAGGAGAAAGAAGCAGCTGCATCGCCTAGGCTCTGGTTTAACGCCTGTGCGCCGCTGTTGTGATGCAAAGGTCGTCTCACGCTCTTGTGAGAGCCCGTGTAACAGACACTCTCGATACTCAACAACCCACTGGTCTGGGGGAAAAGCAGTTCTCTACAAATTGCTGCCCTAAGTTAGGCCCTCAATCCGGAAGAGTATCTACGTTGAAGTTTTGTTATTCTATAAAGAGAAAATTGGCCCCCTTGCAATGTGTTCACATCGGCCCGACATTACCGTATCATTGGGGCGGTTACAAGCAAGCATTTCACCTTTCTTGGCTCGACGAATCCCTTCTTAGTTCTTGGCTTCATTAACGCGTCAGGGTACTTCCGTACCAGTTGTGGACTTCAGTTACACTTGGAGCACTTCACCGCGCCTCGCCTACAGTGTACTTGGCGCACCCCTTCGTTATTCAATATGTTACATCAAGTCTTCACTTCCCACGAAGGCCCGTGGCCGCACTAATCTTTGCAAGCCGTGGACCAACCATCCGTTCATATGGTGGAGATCTTCCTTCACCTCACATGGAGAAATTCAGTGATCTCGTGCAAAATTGTAGGCTGCGCAGCTATCCAACGTTACAAGATCAACTTGGTGGACATTTTGAAACCACTTTTGGTGTATACTGGTGCTGTTACTTGATGTATCGCCTGTTGAATAGTATCTGCTGATGGAGCCTCAACGGCGCAAAAGGCCGCCTTCTCCAATCAAGAGCCCCGATTCCCTGACTGGAAGAATACCAAAGAAATAAAGGTTTCGGTATTTCATCCATTTGGTGGTTATGCAGATAATACTCTCCTCATACTATAGGCTCGCCCTTTATCTCCCCAGTAGCGTTGTCTCGTATTCAAGCTCGAGGAAAAAATCATGAAGAAGAGAGGCAGTTCGGAACGAACAAATTCCGCATGAAGTGCACGAGCCCTGCATCCAGGCCAAATGGCCACGGTTGTCAAGCTCTTTGATGCTGACTCTACTTCTGGGCCACAATAAAGACCCGTAGGCGAAATATTTGTTAAACAGGGATGGTTCACCGTGTGTCTCATACGCCGCAGCACCAGCACATATTTTCAACGGCAATCTAGTTTCACTGCTAGTGCATTCATGAGCTGCCCTCACTCTCAAAACTCTCGCCAAAACTTTGTGCGCAGAATTCCTGCGATTTGCTGTGTTTCTTGCATTTCCTAGTGGCATCAGTGCGGCAATTTGAACTGCCATAGCAGTACCCTTCGACTGCTTTACTGCTTTCCTTAGGAGCACTCATCTACTATTTGTGAGACTAGAAAGTTCCCACCAGCCAGAAAGACCAGTGTTGCGTGATGATCCACCTATCTAGAGACGCCTAGCGACCTTGTGATAATCCGGCTTAGTCGCTGCCGTTGTTGCTCCTGCTGCAAGGCGCTGCAGCACAAGCCTCTGCTCCCAAAGTGCCTGCAACGGCCTCTTTATCTGTAGATGAGGCGGAGGCAGCACGAGAAGGGGCTGCAGCCCGCGATGCTTCCGCATAAAGAAGTTGCTGCTGCCTGGTGCACGCAGTAGCAGTTCCAGGGTTACCCAATGGGTCTGCAACAGTAGGTGCGAAAGCAGCTACACTGTCAGTATCTGCTGGTGGCACTGCATGGATCTTCTGTTGTAAGAGCTCGAGTGAAGCTGCTTCGGCTTGCTTGTATCGCAGCAGCTCGCGAAGGTATCCCTCAATCTCCAAGGCCTTTGATGCAGCTTCCTGCTGCGCTTGCTGCACAGCCTGCTGCTGTTGCTGCTGCTGCTGAACTAGAAGCAAGCAAGTCCTGCGCGCTGCCGCTGTTTGGGCCTCCTTCTCTGCCACCTCCTCCTCCTTTTCCCTCAGTAGCCGCTGCTGCTGCAGTAAATCTCGGTCTTTCTCCGCAAGAAGTTGCTGCTGCTGCTGCACCTTCTGCTGCAACAGTAAAAGCTCGGCCTCTATGTGCCGTTGATGCTTTTCATACTGCCGCTGTGTTGCTGCTGCTGCCGCCTGTATAGTTCTGACCTGCTGCCTCAATGCTACTGTGTCTTGGGTTGCCTGCAGCAGCAGCCGTTGATCTGTCGGCAGAGAGCCAGTTCTTGCAGTGGATACTGCTCCCCCATGTGCTGCAGCAGCAGCTCGGACAGCCAAGACAGAAGCGTGGTTCGCCAGTAACCGTCGATTCTCCTCAAGCGCTGCAGCATGAGCTGTGCATACAGCAGCGAACCACTCATGCTGCAGCAAATGTTTAATCCGTGCCCGCCTAAGGAAAACTTGACGCCAGACGGGATACTTTTTTCTCAAGGTTGCAGTCTCCTTCACTTTTGTGTCCTCGCCCACATCAGCCTCTGTTGATGCTGCTGCTGCAGCCGCTGCTGGGGCAACCGCCGCATCAGAAGTTTCAAGCGTATCCATTGCCGATTCAAGGAATTGCTAACGATGACGGTGCTGCTGTCAAATCAGGCCACTATTTCGGCGTCTGTAGGTGGTAAAGGAGCTTCTTCTGCTGAGCTGCCAGTCTTGCAGCAAAGCACAGTTGAAGGCAGCTGGTGCTCTTATAGTGGCTTCAAAGTGAAATGTTTTTCTTCATAGAGTTGCCCCTGTTGTCACCTATACTGTTGACATGCCTCTCTTCCTATTTCCACTGCTGTAATTGATCTTCCCCCTGCTGATGCTGACCTCTGTTTTGCTCCTCCTACACTCGTTGCAGTGTCAGTTTGTTTTCGTTATTGCCTTTGTAGTTCTTGCTTTTCTTGTGGCAGCGGCTGCCCCTGATACCGTCGTTGCATTCCTGCTGCCGTTATGTTCTGCAGGGTTGCTGTTGAGCGTTCACTTGCAAAACTACGGTCGAGAAGAGCAGTTGCGCAAAGAAGCTGCCTACTGTCGTAGCGTTACCACTGCGACGGCTTCAGCAACTGCTCTCGCATATGCGAGTGCTGTTCCTACTGGTGCACTCCGCTGTCAGATTGATCCCTGCCATATTCACAACATTGTACATGCTTCCGAAGAGAACCGTCGAAAAGTTCTGGCAGTGCCACTGATGTCTTTGCCAGGCAGCACTAAGAGCGTTTCCGCGAATCCGGACACTGACAGGAGACTGAAAATAGCGTTCCAGTACGCGTATAGCTGACAAGAATCCATGGGAGCCCCGCTGTTCGGTTCTTCTAGTTGCTGGAGCTGTCGGTGTCTCCAGGTCTGCGATTACTCTCAATTTACCTCTTACATATCTTCCATGCATTTTTTTCTTCCTAATTCATTTGCAGGACTTAGGAAGCCACTGGACTGTCGCCTTGGCCCCACATGTCCTGCGCCTAGATTCCTACAGTCATCAGTGTACTACAGCCCCATATTGTCGATATCGCTCAATTTGATTAAGCTCAGACAGGTCTTAAGTTGATACTTACAGAATTAGAGGCCTCGCTGTCGGCGCAGTTCAAGGGCTACTGTGAAAGATCCCTCCCTCCATAGCCCCCGCTGGTTCCCATGAGAGGTAGTGGATCTAAAACTGTGCTGTAGAGGGATACCTCTGCTGTTCATCTTAGCTTTTTGTGTCATTCACACGTCCTAGTCGTGTAAGTTAGCGAAAGGGCAAGAATGTAGGCAGGAAAGAAGTTGACACCAAGAGGCCCTGTGAGGAACATCAGTAGACCCCCCACTTCCAGTGGCGCAATTCCTGAGACGAAGGCAACGCAGGGGCGAGAGCAGGATTAATAGCAGAGAAGCAAGGAACCGAAAACTCAAGCCTTATGAAATAATGCTGAAAAATCAACCTGTCTCGTGCGCGCAGCAAGTACTGTGGGAATAGTAGCGCTGCTCGCACTCATAACAACCTATCCTGACAGCTTCTGCTAGAGAAGAAAAGGGCACGAACACAAGCGCAAAAGTTAGTGAAAGGGCAAAAATGTAAGCAGGAAGGAAATTGACACCAAGAGGCCCTGTGATGAACATCAGTAGACTCCCCACTTCCAGTGGCGCAATCCCTGAGACCAAGGCAACGCAGAGGCTGAGGGCAGGATTCATAACAGAGAAGCAAGGAACCAAAAACTCAAGCCTTATGAAATAATGCTGAAAAATCAACCTGTCTCGTGCGCGCAGCAAGTACTGTGGGAATGGTAGCGCTGCTCGCACTCATAACGTCTCCTGGCAGCTTCTGCTAGAGAAGAAAAGGCCACGACCACAAGCGCGCAGAGTATGCTAATCCCCCATGATTTGTATCCTAGATCAAAAAACCGGGACAAGCCGACTACGGGGCTCGAACCCGCGACCACCAGCTTAAAAGGCTGGCGCTCTACCGACTGAGCTAAATCGGCACAAGGGGAATGGAATCCTGTGGAGCCCCTATCAGCTATTGCAAGTATCGCTCAAAGTGTCTCCACAACACTTCCTTAAATTACATGCCAAGGAAGTTGAGGAGATTGATGTATAGTCAGTCCTCCCAACAAGCGGTTCTGCCGGTTTAGCTCAGTTGGTAGAGCGCCAGCCTTTTAAGCTGGTGGTCGCGGGTTCGAGCCCCGTAGTCGGCTGTCGTCTTCCATCACCCTTCTTCCTTTGCGTTTAGTTATCGTTTAGTCATGGTGGAAACGTGGTTTGCCCGTGGCCGCGTAGATGGTGACCGGGACCATGATGCCAACTTATTTCCATCTCCCTACATGGTTCACCCCATTACTCACATTGTCACTCATGTATATAAGAATATGCAACGCAAGTGCTAACAAGGAAGCAGCAGCGCACACTACTGCTTCTCTTCGACTATGCTATGCCTTCAAAGTCCTGCCTGGTTGTTCGCAAAAGGCACCTTCCGTTGTTCTAGTGTCAGTAGTAAGCACAATCGTATCACTATCCCAGGTTCTTTAGCAAGAACTAGCAATCACTGCGAGACTAAATAGTCAGATTGGTACCACGAAACGAAGTAGGCTTACTACGTAAAGCCACGCTAATCCTCGGTAGGTAGGAAAGCACAGAACAGACTAACGCTTCTGGTCTGACCAAAAGCGCGGGAGCTACTGCTTCAACGTGCAGGATAAAAGGCAGCTAAGTTGATGTTTTACCGTAAGATGAGCATTTTCCATCGTTCCGGCCACCAATCCTTTTGACAGAAAAGCACGAATTTGTTGTGGGATGTAATCGAACTAATGGGGGCAACAATGCAGAATCCAATTCCGCCGTTGTGCCATATTTTTTCTTCGCTTGTATTTTACTTCCACGGCGACTGGGAGGTGGCAAGCCGCGCTAAAGATTCCCTGCAGCACTGTTCCCAAGTCGCAGCAAATCCCTCTCCAGTAAGTCCCAGTTGGATGCCTATAGATCGGTGCGACGCACTGTTAATGTTACAACAGCAGGTTCCTGCCTGCGTCTTAAGCGCTTCGCTCCGAATGAGTTGTTATTCAGTCCTTGCTGGGCCGTTGAGCGTAAAGATGCTCATGAAACCCAGAGGAAAGTGGAATTGAAACCCTGCACGCGTCAGAACCGTGATATTTCGATTTTGCGAGAAATTCGTAGACGCAAGCATGAAACAACAGCTCTCCACTTCCACCTTTTCGATGCTGAGGTATTTCTTCCCCCTTCTCACCTCTCATTGCAGCTTTTCATATGAGGTGCCGTTTGGGGAGCCGCTGGTCCCTCGAGTTCCCTTGAAGGCGCCCATAACACAGATCCGGTGCTACACGCCGGTGCATATGAATGCTGGTTTACGGTGACTAGTTGTGCGTACCTACTTTTTCGTGATAGGTCCCTGGTCATGTGTATCAATTCTTTGAACCGCCTCTGCAACCGTACTCTGCTTTTCCCATACTGTCGCCTCTACGCAACTTGCTTGTACGCCCTTCTGACGTTTCGCTCCCAGGTTCTCGAAATATGATTTTCACGGTGTCCATCACTGTTATGTTGCCTTGCCGATAGATAATGGCTTATCCCTTCTTTTGCTCGATTTTGACGTTTCGCTCTCACTCTTTCAAAACATGATTCCCACAGCTCCCATCACTGTTATGTTACCTTGCCGGTACATATTGGCCCACCCCTTGTTTTGCTCGATTTTTGAAGCCAGAGTCGGAGCCAGAGCCTAGGCAATTTCCATCATATCATTGAGCGATCCTGCAAAGCTCAGAAAGACCGCATCATTCTCTAATGCTTCTACTGCTATCTATCCCACTCTTCTAAATGTAAAGAGTCGTAGACAATTACAATTATTAGTAGAGGTGTGCCAAAGAATTACCCATGTAGGCAGAATTCCACACCAGCTCCCAGGATATTCACTATACTAAATCTGCTATCGATAGTCGTCCTACTAAATCAACCAGGATGACCCCGTAACTCACGCAGCGTTAATCTTCACTTCCCCTTGATAAAAGCACGTTGGTTTACTCACAGTATGCTCACAATTGTTCTCTGAAGACACTACGCCCCTCGACCGAAAATTGATTTGCTTTGCTGTCCATAAAAATATTTAACATCTTCATCATTTGTCATCGATACACGTGGTCTCTCCATAGGGGCTTTGGTACCACTGATTCCTTAGGGTATTGTTTCCGATCGCTACGTAAGACCCTCTACAGTGGCAATCCTCTACAGTAACAATGCTTCCACGTGCACCTCAGACGTCAACTTGTTAATCAGAACACGAGTCTTCTGAACTTATTCTCCATCAGCATCCTGAACCATCTAGCGCCACTGTCCCATAACAGCAAACGTAGGCCTAATGGATGTCAGTAGAATGCGTCCTTAATGGTATTGACTCCGTAGACCTGCAGCTTCAGATGGTCAGTGAAGTCTCAGCTCCCAACGAACGCTCAGTCCGTCTCAGTCCTGGATACACCTTACCACTATTGAAGAAGAACACAAGCGCATTGATCCGCACTGGCGGTACAAAACATAGCACGCCATAAAAAGGCAACAGCACATCAACTGCGCCAACTTTTTGCAAATGGAAAGACAAGGGCAGCGAATTTGGATCACAAGAGTCTCGACTCAACCGTACCCTCCCAAAGCTCACTTGATTCTACTTCAGTTGAGGTCGGCACCCATTGGCTTCACCGTTTTTTGAACAGTATGAGGCGAGAAGAAACCACGCGATGCCAATCCACACACCACCACTGGGACATAAAAAGCATCATGTAGGATGGTACCAGGGAGCACCCAGTACTACTGTATCAGCTTGCAGAGTCCCTGGTCATTTGTAAGTGAAATCCAGAGATGAAGCAGCCCCTATGGGAATCCAAAATCGTGCCCCCATTGTCTCAACAGCACTGCACGCTGGCGTCACCTTCCCTTACCGGGCTGTGTCCTTGAGAGCTGTAGCTTCGGGATGCATCAGGTTGGCGCCACTCCGTAGCTCGTTCAAAGCTATCCGCAGTGGCCTACTCTCTAACTATTAAACACTGTCTTAGGCTGCCGCAGCGAAGTCTCACCGGAAACCCACACTATTTCTGCTCAGCAACGAACGTCATTCATCGAAGATGCACCGAATTAAATTCACACGAATTTCACACAGTCAATATTCCAATCAAAGCGCAAAGGCGCTTGTCTAAATGTAGAAGCCTCGGGTGTCCTAGAGCAGGGCACACGTCAACTGGATGATGCCATCTACACATGGATTCTTCTTTTCTTGGATCCTTTCCAGATATCGAAGCTTCGCGTCCTCTTCCAAAAGATTCAACTGAATTATACCACTTTTTAAGTTCCACTTTTGCGCCCAGCCTTCAACGACATTTGACCCGAAGATGTGCAACCTGGCAGCTGCCCTGTTAAGGGGCTCATCAAGGACAGAAGCGGAAAAAATTGAGTGGTCGATATGTGCGACTGTCACTCCAGAACGTGTTGAATAAGCACAGCTAGCAATAATGTTTCGTACATTTAAATCGCTAGAAGATTCCAACACCTCCGCCAGTGCAACGCCTGCCAGTCGCCGTGCCAAGGACTTCGGAATCCTCTCATTTCCATTTGATTCAATAGAGACGACACTGCGTGGCCACGGAAGCATTTCAAAAAACTCATCGAAACTTATTTCATCCTGGTCTTTTTGTAGGGTCTGCAATGTTGGTAGAGGGGGCGATGCGATGCCTAGCAACAATGAACCAACTTGAAACTCTGAGCAGACCTGCTCGAGTTTGCACAAGAACTCGATGCGATCAGTGGCTGCTTTCAATACGGAGTCCACGAACCGAACTTCCTTCAAAAAGTCCTGGATTAGTTGGGGGGCCACCTGCTCAGGCCACGCTTTGGCAACAGCCGCAGCTGTCCTCAGATAGAACATCATGGGCTCCTCTGAAGGCAAACTGTCGTAAGTACTTGGCATATAATTGTGTATGAATGCATCTCTTACCCTTGAGGTTGCTGAATTCCAAGCTGTTATTAGCCTACTAACTACGCATTCTAGGCCTTTTAACTTTACATCCACTAGTCTCTCCGCCACTGACACCCTGTTATACAGAGGATCCATATATTGCTCCGCATACTCCTTTTCCTTCTTTGCTTCTTCGCTTGCAGCGAGAGTATTTGCACGCACCGTGAGGTCACGCAGGTTAGTTCTTTGGGAGCGGTGCTCAGTCCCATGGGGAGCAGGATCACCGAGGGAGAACATCATTTCAGCACCCTGTCGTGATTTCAAAAGCTTGCTGGAAGCAGGAGACAGCCAGAACATATTAACCAAAAAAGCTGCCAGTAGTGCACTAATGAGTGCAGCTTGCCGCTTCGCAGTGCCCCTTCTCCTGGATGCTGCATGGATGTTATTCGCTGAGGCAGGGTTCCAATTCAGTGCCGTCTCTTTGCGTGCACCGGGGCAACTGGAGAAGGTGACAGCAGCTGCTTCACGAGGATGTTCAGTACATTGGTGCTGCATCTTTACGTCGATCCTGAAGTCGTATGTGCGTGGGCAGGCGGCAGCCACATGACGTCCTCCTCCGACATTCCTGTGCGGCACTGCGAAGCGTTCTTCAGTTGCCTAGCAACCTTGAAAATTGCGAATACTCCGCAAGAACAAAAACGCCTTAGCAGCCACGCATATACAGCCTCTGTTTCTTCATGTGCATCGTTTCACATGACACGAAGAAGAAGGGCAGGTCGTTTGAACTCCTTGATTGCCGGATGACGAGCACAGCAACCATCGAGGTTGAAAACTTCGCGGCTTTGCTGTACTACTGACGTTAATTGCAAAGTCATAAAAATGAAGAATTACATTGGTTTTGTACATAAGGGCAAGAGCATGAAAAAGGATGCGTCCCGCTTCCCGCAGATGCTCGAGACGTGCAACTCCAATTGACAACCGGCGGATCACAGCGCACTATCTCCTGGTGTGGAATGCACAAGCCTTTTCTGTGATACTCTTTTCGTTAGAGATACGGAGTAAATTACTCAAGAGCAGCGTAGGGCACAAGTTCTTAGGTTTGGATGGTGTGGGGCTCCTATCATCGACCAGCTGCCACCCTGTTGGTCCACCCCCTAACATGTCTAGCCGTCGTCTCTACTCATAAACGCCTTCTTTGCATTTTAAGAAAACTCTTGAAAAAGCGTGTGCCCTTTTTCTTGCAGCTTCGTAGTCGTGCAGCTTCATAATTCCGTACGCATGTAGCGGCAGTTCATGACAGTGCAAGGCCTGTACAACTCGGCATAGGCTGACTTCATTGGCGAGCCCGCCATCTCAGAACAGCACTTCTGTGGTGAAATGTGCAAAAAATAAATATTGGGGGGTTTTAAAATTTTCTATTGGGTCTGATCTCCCGTTTCATGTTTGGGGTGGTTCAAACCATGCCAATCCCGTCACACCAGTATGTGCTGGAAGCATCTAGTCCCAGTTTCAGTGGCTAAAGGAATATTAAAGTTATGTCTATGCATGTAGAAGACTGGGGCACTACTGTCTGCGCCAAGGACGCATGGGACGTACAAGAGGAGCGAACATAACGTCGTGGGGGAGACCACCGTAGCAGCTCAAAATGAGTAGCTCCCATGCGTCACTGTTGCGCAAAAATATTCCGTAGGATTCAGCAAATTATAAATTGACCAAACCGACCAAGAGGATACTTAATGCTGCACGCTGGAGACGTTCTCAATGGCGGAGGGTTGCACGGGCTATGTTGACCGCCATGCATGCCAATCTCAGCAACCCGTTCACCGCATTTTCATTGAGTGTGCCACTACTGCTTTTGAAATAGGAAACGACAGGCATATTGGTGCTCACGGGCGGAGATTACGAGTTCTTTGGCGTAACGTGGTTCTACAGTGCAGCCACACGAAGCCACAGAAGCTTAGTTCAACTCCCACAGAAACACTGTCAGAGCTTCACCTAAAAGAAGATGAGAATCAGCACTTTTATTCCCTTCCAATGGACTTGGCTGCGGCTCTGAAATCGTTGGTCCACAACCTGCTGTTCTCTAAGTCGCCTTGACGCTGTGCTGGCCTCTTTCTACAAAAAGGAACGCTCTTAATTTTCTCACTCCATGCTCTTGTTACATCTGTTAGTGAAGGAAAACACGTAGAGCCGTTCATCAGAGCCTACCAGCATAACTGGTGCGACTGTTTGGCGTTTCGACCATTACGGGCAAAAAATTGTAAGAAGTGGTATTTCCACGCCCATCTTCAGTAATTTGTACGTTTTCCCCACCATTTTGCGCCTCTTTTTATTTGAGCTCAACAACGATTACTTCTTGGTAAGGGCATATTTTCCCGCTTTTGAATGCTTCTGTACATGGGGAACGCTCCCTTGCGTTTTCATTCCCTAACTCTGTTTCCCCGTCGCTATTTGCTCATTGGGGACAAAAAAATTTCTGAAAGTAGCAGTCAGGTTTGGACTCTTGTGCGCGTCTGTAGTCACCTCTCCTCTTGCCCGCATTTTGTAGAGTTGCGCTGAAGCAGGTCTACTCTGCGGCAGACGAAGACAGAACGTAAATACAGCACCCTCCTTTTACAGGTAACCTCCCTCCGTGAGCAGTGTAAGCAGCGCCTTTAAAAAGACTACTTGTTCCTACGACACCATACGAAAGAATAATTCATGAAGGTCATCAAAAGGCGCAAGATCTGTGAGAAAACGGAGCGCATTTTGTAGAGCCGGGGGCTCTTAGTGTAGCATGCTATGCCCAGCTGGGCTTCTACAAAACATTGCTTGCCCGCTACATGGGGTTACTCTTCTCTCTGTAGCGCAAAGGCATGTAATTATGCACTGGCATTAATTCATCACTGTTGTACACGTCTTCGCTGTTAAATAGAAGAGCTTTTCTCTGTCTTTCTTGGTGCGCGTATGGCTGTTTGCAGCTCACTTCTAGGCACTGGCCCAAGTCCAGAGCGTTCCAAATCTGTGATCCTGCGAAAATGAAGGGCTTTCATCTACCTGAGACTTTCAGCCTTCAGCGCTTCAAGTTTTGTAACATTGTAGTGCTGCGCGCTACACCCGTAGCGTGTAGCCGCTGCGGTTTAGCTTGCAACTCTATCAGTGAAGCTACTTGCCCATGGCACAGATAAGCCAGTAGTGGCTGGTGGAGCTTAGCCTGCTGTCTCAAAAGCAGGAGGGCTGGCAAGCAATGAGAGCCAAAGCTAGAGCCCTAGAAAAACCCGTTTGCGGCTAGAAAACGAGTCTGTGCCACGGTCCAGACGTGGCCAGATGATGTCTCCAAAAAGCAAGTGCATAGGCATCATAAAGCCATATAAACACTTTGTGATGGGCGCTTACGGCAAATTAGTGAGGCCTGATGTGTTTTGTTGTGTTTAAACTACAGCTGTAATGCCTCGACAAATGACCTTTCCCGGTCAACAAGCGCGATTAAGGGCGCAACGCGCTGTTTTCGCCTCTCTGCCTAAAGTTGTAGTATTAACTTTAATGTTTTGCATTGTGTATGTCTCGAAATATACACTTCTGCTTCTAAAGAGAAAGCAAATGTCTTCAGAGAACGTTTGGGTGAGAAGACCAGACCCCGCAGCCTGCAGGCCAACCGACTAACGGTAACGAAGATCTGAGGGAGGCACTAGAGAAGAGCTGTAGCTGTGCTGGAGCCTGAAGATTCAGACAAGGCCTCGACCTGTAAAGGGACACACGCAAAAATACGGGTGGCTGCGTAACACTGCGGGGCTTTTGAGTCTCAGAGAACCTATTTTTAAGCTCTTTATAGCTCGACATTTAGATATTTGAGTGAGAGCTTAGTGATACGCATCTCTCTGGCAAGTCTAAGCTCTGAGGCAGGCAGCTCCTAAAAAAACAATTTGACGGGCTCCCCCAGCTTTCATTTGAAGCACACAAAGCAGAAGCGTCGTCTTGGATCGCATATGTCATATTACTAGAGGCGTTCCTGTCAAGGGGCCTGCTAATGGGAAGGTAGTTGTGTGTGGTCTTGAGGCACTAAGCTTCTGAGACAGCTCAGAAGTTGCAGAATCTGTAAGCCTAAGTGTCGCAAATGCACTAATCACTCTTATTTTGGGGTTATGCTTTGGTCAGCAATAATTTTTTGCTATGGTTCGGAGGCAAGCTAGCCCTCCATCTAGCAACATGGCTGGTCAGCCTAGTGAGAAACTGTAAAGCAGCACAGAAGAGTTCCCCTGTGGTACATTGAACGATCACCAAACTCCCAGTGCGCGTAGCAGCCGTATTCTACAATGAGGATCTTGGAGACAAAATTCCCAAGCAAGGTTTCTATGTCACGCAGTGGGTTATAGCAAGTTTAGGAAGTCTGGTTGTCGAGCTCGCGACGGCACATGCTGCCAGCTTAAAAGGGACAGCAGCAAAGACGAAGACAACAGCAGATCTGGCGCCATTTCGCAGTGAGAATGTGAGAAAGAGCCAGAGCATCGCGAGAACGATAAATAGTGGAACACTGAGCACAGCACTCAATCTTTGAATTTCCTGCAACGAGAAAGAACACACTTGCCAAGTATGAACGTTACTAATACCTATTCATTCATTGCGCAATTTGTCGCGCACACAGTACCCAGGCAAAAACCAGTTATGGAAGATCTGTCGGCAATATTGAGAAGTAATTGAGGACAACGGGTGTAAAGTCAAAACTACAAGCGTGTTACTGTTGACTGTCCCTCCTGGGAGGGGAGTGAGAGGTGACCTTGCTAGTTCGCAGGAGAACCACATAAGCACGGCCTCCGAGAAGCAAAGTGATGTTTAGTGGTTGTATCGGGAAAAAGAAACTGAAGAACGGCAGAATTTACAGGGAATGGCTCCATAGCTTCTGGTACGCGACGGGCTACAGGATTCCTCCACGCGAAAGGCAACTGCAGGAGGGTTGCAACTGAAGCCAGTTCCTGCAAGATCCACCCAAGAGCCCGCAGCTAGCTAAGGACTTTACTGAGCCGATAATTGCACTGTTGCTGCACTTTTGAATCATGAACGTCACGGTTGAGAATGAACATACACGCGCATCCGTAGAGTATGGCAATCTAAACGGTTAATGAGACCCATTCTCGAATTATCACCTTTGAACTAGTAGTGTGGTCGCTATTGAGACTGACACTTGGTGCACGGTTTTGCTGCCTTTGGCCTCACAAAAAGAACAGCATCTCCTAATAACGTTAATGAAGCACGCTTCGCAGCCCAGCGCCTTACTGGGGTCTGTTTAATTTAGCCGAGCTCCACAGCAGGTGTAACCCGCTTTAGTACTAAAGAACTTGCCCGGTGTCTCGCTTAGCTAGCTGTAGAAGCGCAGGGTATGTTTGAAAAACAAGGGGCTAGTGACAAAACATGAACGACTGTGCGGAAGTTTGGCGGCATAACTGGTTTTGTGAGGAGAAACTCTTTTCTACGGTTACTTTACGTTACTACCGACAGCTGGACACTTGAGTTTCATAGAGTGAACCTCAAGACGCCAATATCCTCGGTGTATTCCGCAAATGTGACATGCTGCTTCAGTCAGCGAAGAAACAAGACGGCTTCACTGGCTGCTTTTTTATTATAAGTGAATCTGCACCAGCGGTTTCAGCAACTAGATCTTGATCTAAGGTAAGCCTTAAGCGTGCCGCAGCTAGGGGTATAATACCTACCATGACGAAGCAGTTCAGAAGTGGTTTTCAAGGCCATATGACTCAGAATGTGTAAGTTGACAAAATGTATGGAAATGAAAGCTACGCAAAAGGAATAAAGACAAATTCGATGAAGCCCAGTACGCTCTGCAGCTAGGCCCAACCTTTGGAGCACACAGTAGCCACTGAAACTGCACTAGGCAGCGTGCCTACTTACAGGGAGAAACAACGAGACAAGATACGTGTGCCCCTTATATTTCCAGCCACAACAATGTTGCTTGAGTCATTTCTGTGCCCAGACAGTGTCTCTAGTGAGTAATGATAGGCACGATCCAATGTAGCTGGGCCAGCAGAGACGCTTAAGAAATCCCTTTAATCTCTAGGTGGTGTCTCTAGTATTAGAGATAGGTACGGACCTGCGTAGCCGGCAAACAGGAGAGACGTGCAAGAGCCAAGCTCGACTTAGCTCACAACAGCACCTACATTTTGCCATTTTTGCAGAGGTCACCAGGTCCGATCGTGCAAAGTTAGTCAATTTTCATTTCTCTAGATCCACGTAATGCACAGTGCTGCACCTTTTAGGAGATCAGCGGCTACTGCTGCTGATGGACAAGGGACTTACGCTGCGGCAAAAAAGCAGCTCCAGTGCCGTATATGAGACAACAATCATTTCACCTGGGATAATGTGCAGAAGGGCATTATTCCATAGCTTGAGAATCGCCTTTAGTGGTGCTTGAACGGCTTGGCTGTATCCAAGTGTTTGCTACAGACTGTGGCGCGGGTGCCCAAGTTTTGGGTACAGTTTCACAGCAAGGCGTCTAGCGCAGTTATAAATGTCATGAGTTACGAGCCATGCCATTTTGCTTCGTGAAGAGAAACGGCATGCAGTGAAACTCAAGGTCTTCGCACTAATTTGATTCTTGGGTGTGTTTTCTGTAATACGTAGTAGGCAGGAAGAGAGCTATGATCCGTTCACAGCTCGGACCACCGCTTCAGTTTGGTACTAGGTGAGGAAGTCTAGACACCTTAATTGATAGACTCTACGCTTTTACGCAGTTGCCCCGAGGACTGAGTAGTTTGGAAAAGTCAAACCAATCGACAGGAACGTTCTCAGATGGCTGAAAAGGCCATCCGCACAACGTCATGTTTGGCCCTTCCCATGTGGTTTTCCTGGTTAAGTGCAACTCTATTAAGGCTGGTGTTCTAGTGCATTTATCTTCAACATGAGGACGAAAGCTTGTGCCCAATCATGGCGTTCAATTATCGCGGGAATGCCATCATGGATGAAGGAGACTGAACATTTACCGTGGTCTCGCTCAAAGCAAGTAAGTCCCGCCACCAAGGGACTCGACAATCAAGAAGGTCCAGGTCGTTTTATATGGGACTCCTGTATTAAGAAAGTGCCTAAAACTTGTACTATGTGAATTTCGAAAGTAAGGCCGTGTGGTGAAACTTGTGTGTCAATTTCGAAAGTAACACGGTGTGGTGCCTGTCCCGCCAATCATACTACGTGGGGCACTCTGTCCGGCAATGGCAGTAGAGGCAGAGTTGAGAGATGCTTGAGTGACGTGCACGCCAACAAAAGTGCTACATCTCAACATTTAGATGGTTGAAGAGCAGTGACCTCTACCAAAGTGAAGTCATTGCTCCTCCGTGGCACCTGTCAACTAACTTGAGGGAATTTCCCTTACCAGCAATAGTAGTGATAATAACTATGGCCAGAGCAGGTGAGCTTTAGTACAAGAGAAGCTTGAAGCAATGCAGCGTGCTGAATTTAAGACCTTCGGATTCATGTTCAACTGTTGCTCGTGCTCAGGGGCGCAAGCAATTCTTGCTCTTGGAGGGCCTTGGGCGTGGCCTCAGTGAGGGCTACTACAGCTTTAATACCTGCTGAACATATATTTATTATGAGTTCAGCATTCCCACCTAGGCCTATAATGGGGTGAACTTTTTTTGAAATTCTTTCAATGTTTTGAAAGTGTGTCTATGCCGTGCCGTTGAGGTTTCTACCGGCTAATAAGACAACTAGGTGCGAACATCGCAGCTTCCACTCTTCTCTTTCGTCATAGTGTGGAATTTAGGTTGATGATCCATGACAATAGCAATTTCTATGGATATGTCTTTGCTTAATGCTGCCTATGCTGAGTGCCGTCCCAGTTGAGCCGCTACTCTAGGCTGAAGCGCCGCTGGGACAATCCAAATATTCTTGGTACAGACAAAGCCTGGGCTCAACAGGGATTACGCTGAGGTGTAAGCAAGTACTGGACAATACACTGGAACCTGAACTGTGCGCAGTGCTATTGCGCACATATGCAACGAACTGGACTGCGGTGTGATACCTAGGGTCCACTGGATGATTATGGATTGGAAGTTCTCCAACGTTTGCTAAAGCTTACTATGTGAGGACGCTGGAGAGTAAGTTTTAACACAACAGTTACAAGTTGTGAGTGAGGCAGGCGTTCTGCTATAGGTAGGTTACGGTGAGGTTTAAGACTCTCTACGGCGGTACCTATTGGCATCTTCACTAAATTAATACGGCGTGAAATGATGCTAATATACCTATGCCAGTTCTGGCCCGGTCACAGCTTGTGAACGTATTTAAAGTTCACGGGCGGGTCTGGCCCGTTGCCTCTTGCACTCACCAACTGTCATGGCGCTCAGCAGCGGTCGCCGCTGCCACATTTCTTGGGTTCTGCCACAAGGGCGCTAAAGGGCTTGATTCTCATCTGCATCTTCATTTATAGTTCCATTTACCCACGGAAATCGCATCCCCGCTTCCGCACGCCCCCCACTCCGTAGATGTCTGTCGAACCAACACCAGGACAAGGCAGCAGCTGGGGCTGCGCGTCTTCCTGATAGTTCCATTACTCAGAGTTGCAGATTATTCATTTGTTGCTGTTTCGTGGAGTGGGTTTCTATGGACTTGCTTGGTGGACGAGCAACCAGAACCTGCCGTCGGCTGAGGACTGTATTTGCGGCTGTGCCGCGTCGCATGCGCATTCTTTTCAACATTAGCGAGCCATTCCTTTCCGCATATGCATTCGACCTGCACTTTATCTTTCACATTAGCTACAGCTGGGGCGTGGGGAGGCTTCTACGGGGTTAATCACGAGACTCCCTCAGTTACTGCCGTGGCAAATTGGGACAGGTGTCTCATCCACCGTAGTAGCGGGAAAGAAACACAGTAAAAGACCGTCAGAAGACAGAAGTGCTGCCGATCTGGGGCGGTGAGTGGGGTGCTTGTTGGTCAGCATAGCGTCGCTTGAGTCCGCGGAGCATTTCGTATCGTTGCATACGATTGTGCGAAGGTCACTGTATACTGCTGGCTTCCTGTCTGGTTGCCCTCTCCTATTTGAGGCTATTACGCGCGCATATTTATCCGGCCTGCTGACAGAGGGAGAAAGCGCCATCCTTTCGTTGATGCAGAGACGGCGACGGGGTCCGTTTTTGCGAGGCGCCAGTCTTTCTGGAGGTAGTCCATTTGTCTCCAACAGCATGAGCGAATTCTGTATTCGGCGGTGCGGGAACTGAGGGTTTGCACCTATTGCAGCCGTCAGTTGCTTGCATCTCGCGTCTTTAAACATAGAAACTACATGAAATTGCAGAGGAGGGTGTGGCCATGCCCTCACATCAGAGAGAGTCGAGGACTCGCGCTTCTGATGCGCAAAAACGCGATAGCTCCGGTGTCCGCATTTCTGTGAGCTCGGGACAGCCGCAGGATGCAAGTTCTTTAAGGGGTAGCGTGGCTCGCAGCCACAGTATAGAACCGTGGGACACTGCAGAAGCTGGCCGCAGTAAGCGGGCGACTGCAGCGACAGCTCCAGTATCGGCGTCAGGAAGTGCTGCTGACAGCAGTAGCAGGCGTGACAGCAGGAAAAATCGGCATGGAGCTGCCGCTGGTGCGTCGGCAGTTGATGCAAGCAGTGGTAGTAGCAGCTTCAGTTCGGCAACAAACCACCCGGGCGAGCCACCTCGGCGTGGTGGGTCTGGGACGCATGGCAGCATAAAGCCGCAGCATGTGGGCGGGTCTGTTGGCCAGCGCCGCAGTAGCAACGCCAGTTTGGGGTCAAATCGCTCTGACGACCCAGAGGAGGAGGCCACTTGCCCGTTATGCCTTGAGACCCTTGACGAAACGGACAGGGGTCTGTTTCCGTGTGAATGCGGCTACCAGGTGTGTACCGGGCCCATTAGGTCCTGAGAACTAATCATTTACGGGGGCGAAACATGCATTTCAGGGCCAACTGGTGGAGGATGTTGATTTCAGGCCGTAGATGATACCAACTGAGCCTTCGGAAATATCAACACTCATTGATTTGTTCATTGCCGATGCTTTTGCCCTTTGCTTCTGCCATATTACAGGTTTGTCTCTGGTGTCTGCATCATATCCGGGACCACTTGGCTAACAAGTGCCCGGCTTGCCGTCGAGACTATGATGAAAAGAAGTTTAAGTACGACCAGACGAGGGTTTTAGAGTGAGCTTCCGCACAGCTGCCAGGAGGATTAGAAAGGCATACACGTATCCACACACGAAGCACTCTCGCTTTGCGAATTTTTAACGATAGCTAACTGTATGTGCACACGTGTGAAACGGGCTGTGAACTTCTGAAGAGCCTGTCCGATGCATGAATAATCATGTCTCGCCCTAAATGCCTAACTCTTCCGGTCTGCTAGCACATCGGCTGGACGCTTTCAGTCGCGTTATGCCTGAGGGGAAAATGAGATTGGCGTGGTTGGACAGGCTGACAAAGCAAATCGGGCGCAAGTCAAGGGAGAAGGTATGTGGGGCGCCCGACCCGACGAGAACTGGTAGCAGCGCTGGTGGTGGCGGTGGCGGCAGCAGCAGCAGCTGCAACAGCAGCACCCGAACAGTCTGTGCCGTTGGACAAGCTAGGGGAGGCACAGCCAGGAGCGGTTCTACGTCCTCATACAGTTGCAGCGGGAGAGTCACCTCAGTTCAACATCCAGCAGGGGCTGACCGCCGAGGCTCAAGGGAGGCAGCAGCACCAGCACCTGCACAAGCAGCGGCTCTTAAGGACGTCCGGGTGATCCAGCGTTGTTTGGTGTATGTAATTGGTATTCCACCCTCAATTGCAAAGAAGGAGGTCAGTTTTGAAGGTCTTCTGTGCTTGAGTTTAGGGTTTGGAGTTGCAAGCTTACAGATGCTCTCCTGCGGAGGCCTGTGGCAGTATGCTTGTCTTGGTGAGGCGTATCCACGCAGTCCACCAAAGACGACTAGTCGGTAGTTTGAGGCCACTGTGCAACTGACCAAGGGGTTGTGTGTCCGTCTGTGTGGCTCTTTTACCGTTGGTGACGTGGATTACGGCCCGTGTGTCTTGACCTTTCCGCTGGTGTACATAGACAGGTAACGTATAAAGGAAGCTTTGAGGGGATGCATGGGGCTGATTTCTTTATTTTTCGCTCAAGAGAACCATTTTAGGTGTCTCCTGGGATTTCTTTGCAGATTCTGCGCCGACAAGAGTTTTTCGGGCAGTATGGCAAGGTCCTCCAGATTGTCGTCAATAAGAACCAGGGGTGACTTCTTGCTGCTAGATCTCTTGCTGGTTTTTCTGCTGTGGCTGTCTGGGCAGTTTCTTTGTGACGTAGTGCTCCAATGGGCTGGGATTTTTTTCGCCGAGAGAGTTGATGGTCGTGCAGATTTGTTCGCAGCCATTGGGGAGGACCATCTTTTGCAGTCTACGTCACATACTCAACAAGCAAAGAAGCTGTGGCAGCTATCCAAGGCGTTGACGGCGCGGTCTACGAAGGGCGAACTCTTAAGGCTTCCTTTGGCACCACCAAGTACTTGAGGCAAAACCTTTAATGAAAACAAAGTTACAGTCAGCTCCGTTTCGTTGTCTTGTGTTAGCATTCGTTGAATGGTTGCTGTGCGTGTATGTGTACTTTGGTTAACACGTACTGTGGGGCAGGGCTGCCTACTTGCAGTCTTGCGATTTTGCATTTTTCACCGGAGAGCGGTTGTTTTGCTAGTTTAGGCACCTTTGTTTGTGGATTTTGCATGGAATGAACTTTAGGTACTGTTCGCACTTTCTTAAGGGTGTCAAATGCCAAAACCCGGATTGCTCCTATCTGCACCAGCTCGGATCAGGCAAAGACAGGTTAGTTGCTCTTACCAGCAGTTTTCTGCTGCCACTCTCTCTCCGATTTGACCTTCGCTGCTCCTCCAGCTAAATATCTTGGAGGATTCTGCAGCCGTGAAATCAGTATAGCAACTGCTACGTGCTATTGGAGCATTGATAGGCCAGAAGCCATATTTTCACGCTGCAATCAGTAGCACAAACAGGTGAAGGTTCCTGAGGATGCTTTTTGCATCTGCTGCAGTTTCACGAAAGAGGCTATGATCAGTGCGAAACACCAATTCTTGGACCTGACGTTCCCAAGCAATTCGGAAAGGAAGCAAACGGGAAGTCTGTTTGGAAAAATTTTGGACTCGGGGAACCGCGGTGGCATGCAGAGGGAAGAGAAGGAGGTGGGTAACGTGCCCCTGTGTAATTAGCTTGTGAGTATGCGAGGACTGCAGTGGCTTTTTGGCATATCTTATGGGTGACTAGTGCGTACATACGTAGGACGGATCTTTGATTAGTGCACACTTTATGCGATTTCTATTCAACATACAGACTTCCGTGTGGCACAACCTGCACAGTCCCATCCGTGGCTTTAGCGTTCGTTTGGAAATGCAAGCAAGGAGCGGCTCACGAAGTCCCACTTTGTTTGTCTGTTTTTTTTCAGGGACAGGTGGACGTAGAAATGTAGGCCTTTTCATCACGTGCTTCGTCCTTTGATGGGACCTCTCTTTCCTGCTCGCCTTCACTGCTCGCCTAAATTTATCTTTGTCCTTTGTCGCCCTGCAATTACTTCTTGCCCCAGCTTTGTGGTGTGGCGTAACGTGGCAATAGGCTTTGGCCCTTTTTGCTGCCGGTTTGCATGCTGCCGGTTACAGTTTCCAAACTCGCGGCTTTTTTGGTAGCGGCGGTTTTCTTTCTAGGTTGTATCTCTAGTTGTTTGTGATTCTTCAGGAATGAGGCAGGGAAGGGGGATTGCATTGAAGACGAGGATTCCGATGAATTTTCATCTTCGCCGCAGGCTGCAGGGAGGGGAGGAAGCACAAATACAGCAGCAACAGTGCCTTCGTCCAGTGTCGCTGTTGTGACTAGTAGTGTGCATTCCATCGGAGCAGCACAGCCGACCTCAGCAGCAGCTGAAGGAGAAGATACCAGCGTCTGCGGAGGATCGAAGTCCAGATCAAAGCCACTGTCTAGCTCCTGTAACACATGGGCGTCAGTTGCGGCAGGAAGCGTGAAGCCGAGCTCTGTAGCGACAACAGCAGCAGCAACAGTAGCAGCGTCAGCATCTGTCCAGGAGAGCATTCCTGTCTGTAGTGGCGGCACCGACAAGATGCGGCAGCTTAAACACCAAAGTGAACACCATGAGGAGTCGGAAGACACACAACATGCAAAAGAAGAGGACACCAAGCGACTCACTATTGGCGGTTTGCCGGGCAGCATTACTGGGAACGTGGACAATGCCTTGCCGGATGCGTGTGACTTCCACGCGATGAATGAACATGAAGTTGCTGCAGCTGGCACAGAGTCTTTGCCGCCAGTTTGTGACGAGTCCAAAGTTACTGAAGCAGAAACGGAAAACTCCGCAGCGGAGAAGGGCGGCGCACATGCAGCCTCGTCGGACCGACCCGCAGATGCTGGTAACTTTAGGCAGCAGCAAGAGGAACAGCAACACCGAGAAGAAGACGTACCGCAACAAGCCGCAGGCTGGCCAGCACTAAAAGGGACGCTGCAGGCAATGGGCACCGAGTTTCGAGGGGCCCCTCTTCAGTCCATTGGGGAACTGGCACTGCCGGCCTCTCCTGCTACAGCTGGTGCTGATGAATGCCCGCAGCAACTACAAACGCTGCTCCCAGCGCAGCAGCAGCAGCGCCTCTTGCACCAAATGGAGCAGAATCAGAGACGATTGGCAACTATGCAGTTCGAAAGTACCGCATCTCAGTTGGTCAGCAGTGAATCAGCTGCTTCATTCCCAGCGGAACAGTTTATCCAACAACAGCAGCGTTTGCTCCGCCTCTGTGCGCCGGGTTGCATGGCTCAAGCAGCAGATCAGGTGGAGCCTGGAGGAGGCAGGTTTGGCCCGCCTCCGGGCCTTGAGGCGTTGGGTGGACCCAACAGTAAGAAAGGGTTCAGTGCAAGAGGCAGCAGCAGTAGTAGTAACAGTAGCAGTGGCAGCAGGTTTCACCTAGGCAGCGGAGGAGTTGATTTATCTGGAGATATTCTGGGACAACTGGTACCAAATGACGGTGTTGCTAGTGTGCCGTTTACTGGGCTTACAGTTCAGGGCGCCTCATCAGGCGGCGGCGGCAGCAGCAGCAGCAGCAGCAGCACATCTCGCTTTGCATTCGCATCAAAAGCAGCTGACGATGACGATGCACTATTTGAAATTCCGGGAGTTGAGGACTGTGTACAGTGGTTTACGACCCCCAGTAGAGCCTCGGCCGCTGAAGAGCAGACGCTGGCAGACACTCAACAGCACCACCAGCAACAGCTGGGGTCTATTCTCTCAAATAGAGAATTGCCTCCCCTGTTAAGTACAGGAGGTGGAAGCGAGCAGCTCTCTGCGCTGACTGATGGTAGCTGGACGCAGCAGCAGCAGCACAAAGATTTTGTTTTAGGGCCTGGAGTGGGCCTCGCTTCGCTGACTGCAGCTCATCAGCGGCAGCAGCACCAGCAGCGTCACCCCTCCGATTGGTGGCGAAATCTTCAGCTTCCTCCAGGCATGGTGATGCAAAATAAAGCTGACTTGGGGACTGGCGGTGGTGCCTCTGCCGCGGCTACTGCAATGGATCGTCTTGAGACGCTAAACGCCGGTAGAGGAGGGTGGAACGCCGGTAACTCTTGTTTTCTTGGGCATGAACAACAGCAGCAGCATGTGTTGCAGCAGGAACATCTCCAGCAACTGCTTCGCCAGCAACAACATATGGCTGTCCATCAATACCAACAGCCACAGCCCAGGGTGCGTACAGCAACGAACCCTGCAGAGCAACAGGCACACCAGCAGTCTCAGCTGATGCTGCAGCAACAACAGCAGCAGGAGCAGGAGTGTCAGTTTACTTTACTGCAACAATTGGTGCCCCCCCACACACTCAGTTGCGTTGGCTCGGAAGATCCAAAAGAAACAGTGAAGCTTCTTCTGTCTCTCATGCCGAACACCCTGAGCCAGGCCCAGCGAATGCCTCCACCGCAGCAACAACAGGTTCTTCGGTATGGAGACAACAGTAATGCCGCCTTCCCTCTTAATGCGCCGATGAGTCGGAACACGGATGCGTTGGCCCGAATGCTATCAGCAAGAGGGGGGGCCACTCCGGTCCTCCCTAGAACCCAAGTAGGTACAACTTCTGGCCCTTTGGGTCGAAACGTGGTCGATGATGCCCCTGATAACAGTTGGGGGGACGCTGTCGCTAATGCAGCAGCCCCTGAAAGTGGCCGCGGCCGATCTGCCCCACGCAAACGGTCTGGCTCTGTCGCTGACGTGGAAGAACGGGGCGGCGGACCTACTCGTGGGTTTTACTCCCAGCTTGGCTCACATGTTTCGGATTTCCAGCAAATTCCGTCGAGTTTGGATGCCCGAGGAGGGACTGGGCTTTCAGGAATGCCTGGGCGCCTCGGGCCATCAGGGGCCCCAGCAGCTACAGTAAGCCCCTCTGATGGAGAGACCTTGCCATCAGTCGGCATTGCAACCTCTCTTTCATCAGGAAATGATTTGCTTCCATTTTTGCAGAGACGGCGGATGCAACAGATACAACAGCAGCAGCTGCAGCAACTCCAGAGAGCCCTTGAGTCCCAGCGGCTGGAATGAGCAGGGGCAGGAGGCCCCTGCCACGCTGGACAAAATCTTGAGAACAAGACGGAGTCAGAGGGTCGGAGTTCGGAGTTTGGGTCAGGTGCTGCTTGTGTTTCTTTTCTGTGCCGCTTTCGGTTGTTTGCGAGTTTTGTTTGTCAATGCACGGATGCATCGAGCTCGCTGGGACTCTCCTGCGTTGCCCGCGGTCTGCGCAACTGGGTGGACCCGTAGCTGACTGGCTAGGTGTCTTCGTCCTTGGGGAGACAGCGTGAGGCTTGGGAGCTTCTCTCAGACAGTGATCGGAGGCGCTGAGATACGTGTCTCGCACCTCAGATATCACAATGCGAGGGCTGTTAGTGCAGCAGTTCTGTGCCGTATTGCTTCAAGGGTGATGCGCACTCACCCCCGGAAACAGAACATGAGTTACCCCAAAAGACCAGACCTTTCTTCTAACGTATCTGCCGATATTTGGGATAGTCGCGTGTATGTGTATGAGCTGTGCATATCAGTCCTTTGTGTTCGTTGCCGCACGTGTTGTGCCTGTAAACTAGGCCTCCAATCCCGACCCTTCAATACAGAAGAGAAGCCTTTTTCGTGCTGCTGCAAAGCGTCAGAATAGGAAGGATCACTTTCTTGCAACCGGGAGTTGATTGTCTTATCAACAGGGAAAGCGCATGAGTGAGTGCTTACAAGGGACTCGTGAAGTGCTTTATCACGAGGCCTAAACGCTGTTTCATAAGAGCGCCCGACATGGGTGGTCGCAATCATGGCGCCCGTCAATAACTAGTGTGCAAAGTGCAGTGAACACCACCTCTGTAGGATCAGTGCATCTATTTGTGCTGAAGTACAGGTCACTACTTTGGGAGACTCAGTAGCGAGCTTGAACAGTAAACGTTCTATGGTGCTCGCAACGCTGTTGCTGGAATCCTCCTGTTCTTACCGGCGGAGAGACCGGTACCACCGATAAGAGCGCGTGCCAGCATATCCATGTGCAAAAAACACCGAGACATTGTCAGCAGAAATGGTATGCAGATATGAAGCCAGCAAGCATGGCTAGAGACCGAAAGCGGTTAGTGCAAGCAGGCTCCACTTATTGTGGAACAGCCGACTACGATGGAATCATGGAGCAAGCAGGCGTTGAACTATGCAAGTCCACCATGCTCGCTTCGTTGTTTTGTAAAATTAGTACGTTTGGTAGACAATACTCCATAGGCAGTAGTGTGAATACCCCATATACCATAGTTACAGCGCGTCTAAAAAAGAGTGGAATCACACGTAGTAACGGAGTTTTCCCCTCGTGTGCAGACTTTGCAAAAGGAACTGTGGTGACCGTCCACTTTAGTGAAGACGTGGAGGCTGGTTTCAACATGAGACTCAGCAGGATTCTTGTTGCTTCTTGCCATGAAAAAAGCTCCAGAGAATGGACTGTCCATTGTGCACGCCCCATCCAGGTGACACTGGTTTAACGCCGGCAGTCATGATGGCAGCAGCTACAATTTATTACGGAATATTTTCCCAGCACCTTTAAATTTATCCAAATTGAGAAAGTTTTATGAGATGCTGTGACGCAACGACTGACTTACTCCCTCCAGCTGCCGAGCGGAATAGGACCACGTTTGCATTGACCATGTGAAACCAACCCTCTCTAAGAAGATTCGCGATTAGTGGCAGCTCTGTTTTCGTAATAGAATGTATGTCTTTCTAAAACAAGTCTGACAGAACGTATCTCTTCCTGAAGTAGGTCGAAGCCGAAATTCGTGCAGAGTATGCGCGTCTATAAGTGCTCCCAAGGAGATGCAATTTCCTACACTTGTGCTACTGTCACTCAGCACAAAATTCAGATCATACTAGTTGGATGTAAATTTACAGCATGGCATGCCATTCCATGCCTACGAGAAAGAAAACGCAGCTCTTTAGGGCCAATGAAGCCCAGCGGAATGCACGGCCACCATCAGTTTTGCTACACTTACTAGAGGTCCAAATGGTTGCATAGTTTACCAATAGAGGAAAATTCTCCAGCACAAGCTAATATCAAACGTTTTCGACCATGTTGATGAAGTGAGGGCGAGGGCGACAGACACTGGCAGACCTGCAATGAATGCTCTTGGACAGATCACCGTGGCTGCAACGAAGCAAAATCGCTGCAAAAAGTGCTCTGTACATTTATGAAACGCAGCATTTTAAATATGCGAAACGAAGGGAAATAAAAGGCTCATGAGCGCGAGGGAGCACGAGCACGCAGGAAGCTCAAGGTCACTTCATCACCGGACCAAACCGCCCAGCCATCATCAGGCAAACCGAGAAGGAACACACTAGGAACTGCTTCAAGCAGCGGCTTCACAAATTATTAAAAACTATTTTCCATTGGACACCTTTAGTTTTTTAGTAGCACTGATGGCTAGATGAATTGGCTTTCCGTGTGCAGCAGTGGGTAGCTTCCTTTGCCGGTCTGCTGTAACACTTCTCAGTCCCTTCGACAGAATACTTATTCGCATCGCGGCCTCTTCCATTTTACTCCAATTATGGATTTGCTTTTGCGCCTATTTGCATTCGTTGCAGCCCTAATATTTGATTCCAGTGCTTCGACACGGTATCAGTTTGGCTTCATCCGTGTTGCTTGCATAGCGGTCGACGCCATAACACCGTTTTTTATCGCAGGGGAAGCTGCAAAGCCGAGAGAAAGAATGTCTGATCAAAACTTCAGCACCCCTCGTTCTGATGAGAGGGCATATCAAAGAGAGGAGCAGCACTCGTTTTCCGCCCACGAGCCTGGCGACCACTTTACTGAAGCCCAGCAAACTTGGCAGCATTCCCTGGAGCCACCAGCAACCGACCCACCATCTAATAGGGAGGGGGCAAACTCCTCTCCTGGCAGCTTAGGAGGGGTTTCCAATCAATCAACCCTCAATGACCTTAGGAAGCATGGCACTCAAATGACAAAAGAAGAACTAAAGCAAGCAGAGGAGATTTTAAAGACCAAGTACGGAGCTATCGACACTCAGGAGAAAGGAGGAACATAACGGTGAAGCACTACGAATGAAGGTGACAAATGGTTGGTCACAAGCGGTCGTCACCCCAAAGAGCCGTCAAGGGACGCTGCAAGAGCCTCTCCATTCTGCATTATCATCGCATGCTCTCTGTATCAACTTAAGGCTTGGTTCGTAGGTACAGAAGTGTTCTTACGCCAATCCAGAATGTTTTATATGGAGCTACTTGGATTCTGAAGTATTCGGTCCATGGCGTCGCAACTCGAAATTTGGCGGAAGTGTGTTCATAACGTCACTGTGGGTCTGGAAACGAGCCGCATTAGTGCAGATGTATGAGTCAAGGCAGTTCCGTTCCAGCCAGTAGCGCTCCAGCTAGACACGTTTGGAAACAAAGTGCTCTATAAGAATTATGTTGGATTACCTCATCAGTCACACTATCAGCCATATAGGGTACATGTATCCAGTCCTACGGCTGTATAGACTCATTGTCACGCTTCCACGCCATTGCTCACGCTGGCGACTGAGAAACGTGCCACTTCGAAGCATTGCGCTTCTCGTGGCAGTAGAGGCAAACGTTGAAAATGCAGTTCTTTCGCGCTGCTCAGGGAGCTTCTCTTCGTCTCAGATGAACATTGATGTACCACTCTTTCACACTTTTCTTACTTTTAGGATTGGGACTGATTGAACGTTGCTCCGAAAGGCGAAGAAAGAGCGAGAAACTCATTCTTTGCATGGAGAAGGGCTTGATCTATGGAATGTTAGGCTGGTGGGTAAATGACTATGGGCATGGACGCATGCGTCATCATTTCCTGGATGGTTCGCTAGAACCAGAGTCCCTGTCCCCAGCATCATATATTGGGCACCTTCATACACCTCTGTCTGTAGACTACGCCTCACTGCCTAACAGCTGACTGAGGCTCCCTACTGCCAAAGCTCAAAGTCAGTGTGCGAAGTATTACTGAGTCTGATATGCGCCTGATCACCAGCTGGCATCTTCGCCGCTGACACCACCATGGCTCTTTCTCACTATTGCCGAAGCTGTCACCGACCGTACAGAGTATTCTGTTCCAGGTAATGTGGTGCACTTTTGGTCCAAGCTTAGGGCTGCACAACAGGGGCTTTTTCGCGGCTGATCCCTCCATGCAGCTATCATTGGTTGTGGGATTCCCAGATGGTGTGAAGGACAACCGGGACTGCTCCCATTCATTTGAGCTTTGCACACATGCAGTGGAAAGGCCTTTGGGTGATTGAGTGTCGTTCTGCGTTTGTGTATAATTCCCAGCCATGTAAACAGTTGCGTTTTGAAGCGTTCGTTTGGCAGCTGCACGCAGCGATGCGTGACTTATCCCGTGTTTGAAGCTCATACAAAACGTGAAGCAAAACTACATGATATCTGAACTTTCTGCTGCGTCTAACGCAGTTGAAGATTGCACAGTGGCCTTCGTATTATCGTTTTTTATCGGCCTTATAATTATACAGCAAGGACAGAGAGCACTCGAGTTGCGGAGTCATTTTTTAATTACCTAGTATGTACGTTAATTGGATGGTCAGCTAGAATGGATAAGCAATGATCTTCAGGGCTGTTTCATCTCGCCAGCAAAAATGCAACGCTTCGTAGTCCTTGCGTAAATGAACGTATTTAAAAACTTGCTGCCATTCTATAAAGCTAGTGCGTCACGCACTAGAGTACTCAGTGACGGCTCTGACTTTCCTTAAGTGCTGAATTACGATGAAAACCAATTCATGGGAGCCCGAATGTTATTCAGAATTCGTAGAGAGCATAAAATTTGAGTCGTGTTATTTTTGTCTCATGTCACACGCGGAGCGTTTAGCCTAGGAGCTAGGCATCATAGCTATTTGGAGTTTCTGGCCATTTTTGTGGTTAATGCATAGATAGCGATTCCGCCCTGAAATGCCACAAGGTTCCCAATAACAGAAAGTGCGCTTTGTGCATCGCCGCTAGTAGCACTATCGAGCCCATATGAGCAAAGATTTGATAACAAGAAGCTGACTAGACTAAAAGCTTGAGAAATAACCCAGCTGCTGTGTCCGAATGCTGGCCTAAATGAAGTACTCAGTATTGTGGTACGAAGACCCCATGGCAATGTCATTAGAGGATATGGCAACACTACAATGTGTTTTGGTGCGCAGACTGACCACACAAGGCGTGTGGGCGTCATGGCTTAGTGCTAATCATAGCACTTCAATAAATGGTGTTTTTAGATGACGACAGCTTCCCTAAGTCTTCTCTGTATGGATGAAGGCAGAACTGTGAAGGCGTTTTGCCTATCCAGACTGTGAGCTGGATAAAGCATAGGTTCCAAGTACTAAAGAAATCGAAATGTGCACCTTTGTGTGTGGTGAAGCAAGTGTTGCTGATGTGACGCTACCTCGCTTTTTTCTTGTCAATGTTGTATGAGGCTGCACCTTCAAGAGAGTGGAAGTTGTTCAGAATGCGGGGAAACATAATGTCAATCTGCTTCGCCTCTTCAGTTGATGCTGTTGCACTAGGTTTGTTCTATGCCATCTGCAGTCACCCAGCTGCGAAACTACGCTGAGTGCGCAATAGAACGTCAGCTGCATGATTCGCACTTCGGTTGTCTGTTGTCTCCTCAATAATTAGCATGTACGTCTCCTTTTTAGGTATAAGCAGACAAAAGTCAAGTCTGTTGACGATCCTGGAGACACTTGAGTTGTCCCGTAAACTGCATTAACTCGTGGTCGCATGCTACATGCCAAAAGTGCGAACAGAGCATTTTTCTTCTTGCAGCATTCGCACGATGTTGTTGTCCCGGAGCTTAAAAAATGTGTATGTGTGAAGGAAGTGAGTTTAGCACGATATTAATATCCGTAAGGATTCGCGAGAATATATGTTGAGCACAATTCATATCGGGCACTGATCAAGGGCTTATTGTGTTCAATATACAATACTTGTTGCAGTTTTCCTTTGTGCTGCAAAGCCGTCTGCCATTGTATAAGGGTGTCCAAGGTGAAGTCATCAAACCCACTTTCTCAGGAGCGACCCTGGCCTGAACGTTCTGTTGTTTACACTACCCCATAATTCTGCTAGCTCCTCGCCAACAGGGACGAAAAATGGATGCCTTGGCCTTGCATTTGAAATTGCGTCTTTACTCTACAGGTGATATTGCGCGCAATAAAAGTTCCACAGCGTTTACCAGAGCGAACGCTTGTGTCTAAAATGTGCTCACGGTTGTTTTCGAGCTACTAGCCATCTTGTTCAATTCTATCACGTTGCTAGAGCTATTGAGAGCAATACTGCGTGCCGTCAGCACCTGTAGCCGGCGTCGTCCTTCTCACAAGTGCGATCGTAATATCGTTTTACGCTTGTTGCAACCGTCGAAACCTTAAAATCCTGGAGAGCCGGCAAATTCAGCCTATGGCCTTGCCTAACCCTCAGTTTGTCAAGAAAATGTGGGGATCGGCAGAAGAAAGCTCTACTTACGATGACATCGTTGGCACAAACAACAGCTCTTCAATCGTTGTCGTGAAATCAACCTTCTCTGGCGAGTCTTCGTCTGTCTTGTGTGGCATCACCCTCTTAGGTGATATTTTACTTTACTTCCTGGCTGAGCTGGCTACATGGCTCATTAGTCGACAAGCGTGAGTTGCGGAAAGCCACTCACGTAATGGCCGTTGTCTTCGGAATCCCTATGCCCTTTAAAAGCGCCAGCCGCTGATAGTGCTTCTGCAGCTGCATTGCCCTTAAAAATGTGAAAGAGCGTCGCTCTCATCCCTGTCTGGCGGGACTAAGCGGGAATCTGGGGGCTGCAATCCAAACGCTTCCTTGCACTCTCTCCGAAATCTGCCCAAGTGCAGCTCTTGCAGTAGACGGCCAGTCGGTGCGAGGAAAACACTGTCCTGTGGAATAAACAAACAAACCCATGCACGCACGAATGCATATATGCACAAATAGCTACATGTGCTAATGCCGCAACAAAAATTCAGGGGCAACGAAAACGAAATCGCGGCGTGTGTTGCTCCGCAGGCGCTGTCTTGGTACGCTACAAAGAGACTCACTTGCGACTCTTCGCCAACCGCGGAAGGCCTTCGCTTCACCACTATATACTTGAGAGATTCGCACTCAGATATCAGGTCTACCAACGAATCGAGTTCTGTGGGGCCATCGACCGCAGAATCCGAAATAAAACAACTTTCAACGAATCAGAGCACTTTAACCCACTGCCGCATAAAAGTAGGGGACATGAGCGAAGATATTAGCTGCATGTGTCGACTGCCAACTTCACTGATGTATGCAACCGCTGAAAACAGCTATACGGGTATCTGCTTGTCTCCCCATTGCTTACTCTGTGACAGCTCTCTACACTGAACCGCCTTCAGCAGTGAAGCATCTGTGAGGCATAAAGCATAAACACACTGGCTCAGATTATTTATTTTATCAAGCCTTCTGAATAGATGGCCCTTCTATTTTGGTCGATTCGCACAACTGAGACATGCGGATGTTGATAATTTCTAGGCTTAGTCGCTGCCGAAGAGAACAAAGCAGCCTGCCGCATTGCATTCCCACGCTACGGAGACACAGCGGCTAAATGTGACCTCACCATCAAAGTCTCGCAGAAGATCTTGACGGCCTACAATCCACAGATTAGACTTTAACGTCCTTAAGGGCAGTTCCGCTTGTAAGCACAAAAATTGCGTGCTCAGAAAAAGCAAAAACCCGCGAAGCTCCTCTTCGCCTGCGTTGCAAAAGAAACAGAAATATGCCTGTTACGCAAACATAACGAAAGGAGTACTATTTCTGCAGTTGACCGCTGGACGCCTTTTCTGCTGCGGCACGACTATGCCATTAAGCATAAGCACTGCTGGAAGACAGCGTTGTCACTCTTCGGCAGTTACTCAGCAGCTACAACATAACTAGGTTCAGGCGCTGCTTGACTCCGCTAAACGCAAAACAACTGCGATGAGGACAAAGAATGTTGTTCTGCTGTGAGTTTATGTCCATACTTTTTCCACAAACTCTGCCTCTCCTTTCTGTACGCGGAGCTAGCCTCCACCAGACACTGCTTTCCATACTCACTGTACGCAGCTAATGCCTCAGTGATACTATCCTCGTGTACTGCTGATATACGAGACACCTTACGGCAACTACCCACAGGATAGGCACTGAACCACCCAACAAAATGCTGTGCGGTCGTGAGGCACATCCAGGATCAAGTTGAACTCTGTGCTTTGCGAAGAAAAAGGCTTACGCGTGGAACGGATACACCGAAGATGAGGAATAAGATGAAGGTCTTGACGAAAAACGACGTATTTGACCCCTGTTGGCAAGATTGCCAGAAAGAAAACATACGATGTACTGCTCAACTACGTCGGGTGAACAGATAGCACCGACCTGTCTTCGTAGACGTGGAAATGAAAAAGCTGTGTTCACCTTTGGTTAGAAAGGACAGGAGGTGAAGACCGAAACACGATGCAGCTATTCCTGCCGTGCGATCTGCGTAGCAAGCAAACGACCAGCTCAGCTGAGGCTCTCACGCCATATCGCTACGTACTTTGCTTTGTACAATCGTTGCCATTTCGTAAGGCCACAGAAGCAGCAGAAACACGTATGCCGCTGTGTGTAAGTAGTTTCGGATGCTCGTCCCGAGTTTATGCACATTTTTTTCAGTTATGCTATGGCGATTTAGTCGATATGAAGTATGCCGGCAACCAACATTCTCCCTAAAATCTATAGATTTGCAATCAGTTTGTGAAGAGGGCCCTGGGCCAATGCGTGAATATAAATACATTCCGCAAGCAACAAAGAGGTGGACTGCTCACCAAGGATAAGTGTTGTGAGGTTTCTCTTACGAAGAAGCATAGGAGAGGCCATCCAACACCGTCTCAAGTCATCAAGTCGAACTGGTGACGGCCCCGAAAGCAACAGAATAGCTGTGGTGCGCGTCGCATATAGAGTTATGTCCTACAGAGGAGCAAGCCGCAGCACAAAGAGGGCTCCATGCTTACCAAGTACTTCGGCTGGTGCTCGCTTAATGAAACTGAGCCCGCGCTTTGGTGCAGAAGCCCCGGCATGCAGGTTCGCCATGGCCACTTTGATACATTGCCGACGCAGGTGCTGTTGGACACTGACCTGCTCCTGCACTTGCGAATCTTGCTGGGTCTCTGATCTGCTTGGTTCACTCTCCACGTGTGGCTTGCAACGGAATGTGGTTCTGTCGACATCAAAAGCCACGTCATCCACCGGTTGGCTGGTTTGTGGCCCTTCATTTCTTGTCGAAATCTGATCTACCCGAGGGCAGTCAGCTGAAGCGTAATCATTTGGATATAATGCGTCCCCTTGGCGGCCGCTTTGGACCTCCTTGAGTCTCTGTAATAGAATGGCGGGGGATAAAGAAGCAGCCTCCTCCTCATGCTCTAATATTACTTGCAGACAGCGATCAGAAATTGCCTCAGCTTCACATGCTAATGACGACGAGGAGGAATATCCGCCGAAATGCTGGTGTTCGACTCGCAGTGGTGATGTACTTCCAGGGAATTGCAGATATTCTGCTTCGTCACAATGGATCGCCCTTGCCTCGCCTTCTGGGGGCTCAGCTCCCGTGTCCTGGCTCTCGAGAGATCCGCTCCGGTTCACGGCACCCGTTAGCTGTAAGTCCGAGAGAATAGGCTCTGAACGTTTCCCCTGGTTTCCCTTACGCAACATAGTTCAGCTTTCTTGCCGGTTATCACCTCCACCTGTGTGCACTGGCTGCGCCTTGAAAGATTCAGGTCCACAAAAAATCCTGTGCCAGGAAGAACCTATGAATCTAGTAACCGGAGAAAGATTGCCAGATTCGCACCTTGTCCCTAAGTATGAGGATGAGGCGGTTCGAGAAAATTGTTCTAGAGCTTCTGTTACACCACTCTAGCGCACCGCAACTGATTTCGAGAAGTGCCTGTAGAAGAAAGAAGAGATAAACTGATCCGGTTTTCTGTTACGTTGCAAGGTAAAAGGCTCTCAGCAGCATACTTAATTGAGTCTTTTCAGTGATGAACATTATCGAAAATAACAAGTGCGCAGTGGGAACAGAGCCGACTACGGGGCTCGAACCCGCGACCACCAGCTTAAAAGGCTGGCGCTCTACCGACTGAGCTAAATCGGCTGTATCGATCTCCCTTCTGTCACGGGCAATTATTCTTTCAGTAACCTAAAGACATAGCTGAGAAGCACGGTAAAATAAACTTCATGCGATCACATTGATGCCTTATTAAATGTTCAGGTCAGTTATCTGCAATTGAGTAGAACTACCTGAACAGGACTGCTCGCAATGTGTACTGTCTTGCTAATAATGAAATCACAGTCACACTGATTATTCCGGTTGGGCTGCGTATTTGCTGGGAGTTAGTGCGCTGTATACCAGCGTGCATAAGAGGAACCATCTCATACTTGCTCATTTTGCCGCTGATCACAGGCAGACGATAACTGTGTGCTCTTGCAATACTGCGTACTCTTGCAATACTGTCAAGCAGCAACCGAAATGCATCCATGCTCTTTCAATTCCGATAGTGAATCCGCATTACGCCCTGCTTGCGCATTGCGTAACAAGCACAGAGACGCCTACACTGCTTAGTAATGCAGCTGCCGAACGGGCGGAAAGCCCGATCTCTATTATACGCCATCGCGCAAGCAAACAAACTCAGCGTTCTGGCAGTACGCTGTAGAATTTCCCTTGTAGCCAACTGTTTTTTTGACTCACTCAGGAATCTGCCTGCGAAGTTGCAGTGACGTCCAAGCGTTCTAATGCAACGTGCGATGTTGAAAGAGTCTCCTTGCAATCGCTCTTTAGAGTTCAAGAGTCAAGGACGGTGCACCGTTATACATGCAAAACCAAGTCACCATGTACCTTCGTGATCCTAGGAGCAAGTGAAGCGAAATTCAAAAGCGTAACGCAGAGAAGAGCCGACTACGGGGCTCGAACCCGCGACCACCAGCTTAAAAGGCTGGCGCTCTACCGACTGAGCTAAATCGGCTGGGGGATGATGTGCTCATAGACTACAAAGTAACTACGTTTTATACGGAAGAATGCGTCGAACCTCCCGGAGATTTCCCTGCAAGCCTCTGCATCTACGGTGCACGTTGCTTCCTACATACAATCTCAGCTGCCCGTTGCTTGTAAAGTTGCCTGTTAAGTTGTTTAACTGAAACTGGGTCGAGGATGTGTCAGGCACGTGGACTCGTGGATGCTGCATTTGATCTAAGAGAAGCTATATCTGGGCGTCTGTGCATGCTCACTTCTGCGCGGTATTGATCAGCTCTTTCAACCCCTGGCCACAGTGCTTGAAAAACGACTTTCCCATGTGTCCCCAGTCCCGCAGTGGGAAGTCTTTCATTACATATGCCCCAGTGCAGTTTGCATGGCCAGAAAAGCGTGCTTTTACGGCGCAGCTGATGCGGCGCAGCGTCAACAATCTGCGGTGTTGCTGCCGGTGAACAACGAGTCTAAGTGAAATGCACCGCTACGCTGAACCGTGTGTCCTCATGAAATAGGCGACGACGCCTGAGGTTTGCCAATGCAGTGCTGCGGCCAAACATTTTGTTACATGAAGAATGTTCATGACTTTACTCCCGAGGAGCTTAAAAAAAGAGCTAAGTAACAAAAACAACGGTGCGTGGATGTTTGTAACAGGCAACAGCCTCTGCACCTTCTCGAAGCGCCTCCTTCCTGTCCTTAAAAGTGTCATGTGCTTAGGGGCAAAATATTTGGGGATGAAGGAGTGACGGCCGGGCGGCTGCCGAATGCGGCATCATGCTGCTGCGTTCGTAGCGCTGATTGCGGTGTCAGGCTTTGACAGTCATCTGTATGCGGCGATGCGACTGACCTCTGCCTCGCTGCTAACGGATCGAGTGGCGAGATATGCCCGTGGGATGGAGCAACCGTCGCCGCATCCTGGGATGTCGACTGCACAGGCGGCGGGTTTGGCGCTGAAGGCTGCTGCCCCGAAGCGGTGTTGCCGCCTTGGGGAGAAACAGGCACCACGTCGTGTCCTTGGGTTGGTGCAGATAAATATCTATCCTCTGGGAACGCAAGCTTCAATGCCTCCAATTGCCTGTAATTTTCCAGTGCCTCTTTGCACCTTAGAGCCTTTCGTGGATTAGATCGAAGGCCAGCTAGGAGGTCTTCCGCTAAAAGTTGAGGCTGACAATGGCGGGATCCCCGTGGCCGCCGCATCCCCTCTTGCTGCTGTCGTCGATGTTCTACACCTTTTTCCACCTGCCAAAGCAACCAGAATTTGGTGGATCATACACCAAACGCATAGTTCAAGCACACACTGAAAGTCTGAAAACTCGCGCCCTTTCTTCCTGGCTCAGTAGGGCTGCAGTACCACAGCCACAAGTGCGAGTCTCTAAATCCTTCAACTGCAAGAGCCTACAATCCACATGCTTGAGTAGATATTTGTACAAGGGCACTAAGACTGCGCATGTACTGCTCTAGAGACTTCTAAACCTCTCAGTGAAACTAAAAACGCTCGCAGTGGGTACTGATTACTACAAGTCTTACGAGGTCATCGACAAAGTCCAGAGCTAGCTGAACTGTCAACTCCAGTGCCTCTGCCGCCACTGCCATATCTGGACTTAAAAATGCCTCCATTATGGCTGCAACTGAAAACATGAAGACAAAGGGCCAGCCAGCCAGGCCGGCAGCATGCACAAGAATAGGGAGGACTCCACGCGAGCCATGGGCCTCATAAACTTTGCAACCGGAAAAAAGAAGTGCACCTCCTGCCATGCCCAGTAGGCTGCGGTGAAAGCCTCTACGCTCCCCATGCCAACACTGCCGCTATGCCACACAGCTCGCATCGAGCCCTCAAGCGCTCACATTAAGCCCTGTGTGACTGACCCTAGACACTTACAACATTCTGACTATATCTTTGCCCTACCGTCTTCAGTGAAATCTAGAAGGTCGTGGACGGAAAAGCCTTCGTCTGTCGCACGTGCTGCCCCGTGCGAGTCAGCCTCCTGGTCTGCTGTCTCTGCCGCTTCCATGACCTCCCTGACAAGGTCGGCAACAGTCGAGGAACTCCCAGGACGCGCAGCAATCTGCACTGCCTCCATAGGGGCCGCTGCAAGAATGATAGTTGATGGTGAGGGGGGGTTCTTTGGTATCCCATGGGGGTTCACCCGCCCGGGGAATGAACGTTGAGATAGAGGCTGAGCACCCATCAGACCGGGACCAGCTGCGGTGCTGTTGATGCCGGTACTCTTAGGGGTTCCCATGTGTGGCAGAGAAGCTGTGTCCGTGTGCTGCGCATGTTGTTGCTGCAGCAACGGATTCTGTCCATGCAGGTGCTGCAACTGTTGCTGCTGCAATTGCTGCGACTGCAACTGCTGATGGCTCAGCTGTGGTGGCTGCTGCAGTGACCCTTGTTGCTGGTGGTGACTGAGCTGTTGCTGCCCACCATAGAGCTGGTGCTGCTTTTGCAGGAAATGGCGCTGCGAGCTTGGAAGCGTGTGCTGTGGCTGTAATTGGAGCTGCTGCTGGTGCTGCAGATGCTGCTGCAACTGCATTGATGGCTGCTGCGTTAGTTGCTGCTGTATAGGTGGGCGCTGTATATATTGCTGCTGCTGTAGATGCTGCATCGGCATAGGCTGTGAAGGAAGTGGGAAGGAATGAGGTGAAATTCCATGTAGAGAGCCCAAACGTGCTTGCTGCTGCTGCTGCAGCATGTGTTGCTGCAGCTGTTGCTGCAACTGAGGTTGCTGCTGCTGCTGAGCGAGCAGTTGCTGGGGGTGTTGGAGCACGGACTGTTGTAATGGCACGTGTTGACCTTGAGGTGAAAGCACTGTATGCTGTTGCTGCGTCATTGCTTGCTGCAGCACCTGCTGACTCATTTGCTGCTGTGCTGATTGTTGCCGTTGCTGCAACAGCAGCATCTGCTGCTGCTGCTGTTGAGACGGGCCCTTCACCGGCGGTGTCGAATTCATATTTAAATTCGTTCAACGAAACTTTTAGCGGCTCAGTAGTTGTCGAAAGACATGCGCACAGCAACGACGAAGGGAAACTGTCCCGAAATGGCCTAAAGCGGAGGCTTCACACACAGAGAGCCGGAGATGAGAGCCCGAATGGCCTTTCAACGAAGAGATAACATCAAGTGAACAGAGAAGAGGATGCCCAAAACAACATCGGAGGCCGATGGCCACAAAAGTGGTTTTCTCGACGATGCCGTGCCTTAAGAGCCTGAGCAAGATGATGGGCTCAGCCAATCCTGAGATCCGAACACATGAAAGCACAAACTCTGCAACTTAAGTGGATCTACACCTAGAAAACACTACCATTTTCTTAGATTTTGTCTGGGCACACCAAGAAAGTCAGTAGGGCAGGCGAGAACATTTGGAGCTTCCAATGGAACAAAAGGCAGCGGAAGTCTCCAATGTGAAGCTTCGTTGAAGAGGTCTTTATATAGCTCATATGATCAAATGTTTCATCTTAAGGGTCGTCACAGACAGAAGGACCAGGGGCCCTGAGAGGGGGCCCTCAAGGTATGCTGACACAGCCCCGAAAGATTGTGGATGGCTGAAAAGTGTAGCAAGCCAGTATTGCGTCCTTCTAATTCAAAAGAACTATTCGAAATCTAATTCGTGGGGCGTTGTGGGACCAATTATGAATCAAGGTCTACTGAATACTGTGGCTGGTGGCATGAACTCCTATGTGAACTCTCTCCTTTTCCTCTTGGCTCGTTTGAAACAGAACTCGTTCGTATTGTTTTCTTTGTAGGATATTGGTACATTAGGAGCATACTTCTTCTCTTCAGCATATTAAATGGCCTTTTGCCTTAACTTCCAGGACCCGTTGCAGCGCTACCAATAGTGCGCCAAAGGACAAATTACTTCTGGTCCCTGATTTAAGCGAAAGCCTTTCCCTGGCTTTGAGGTATAAACGCTAAGTGAGGCTCTCCGTATCGTGCGCTAAGGGATCTACCCGATGCAGCGCTCGCCGCGGCCCTCGCGAACTTCCGGAGCTCCTGAAGCATCCAATCCTGCGCTTCTTCCGGAGACGCCTACGACTACGCCCTTCGCCGCTGATGCCTCCCGTCGCCCCAAGCGGACGAGGGCTGTGAGCGCTCAGAGAACTCCTACGCTTCCAGCCGTCGAGTCGGAGGAAGACAGCGACAGCGAGCAATGTATAACGTTTGAAGGGGATGAAGGGCTTGATGTTTCTTTTCCCTTGAAGGCAATAGAGAAGATATTTCGCTGTTCTCTCTGCAGCGGCTACTTCAGAGACGCTGTCACCATCAAGGAATGCTTACATACCTTTTGTCGTTGGTGTCTGTATGACTACGTAGACGGGGGAGAGACAGAGGAGGTCTGCTGCCCTTACTGCGAAAGAAATATGCAGCTTTTGACTCCGCACAGAGATGGTGAGGCCACACGGAAACACCATTTGCCTGTTCACTTCGGAGGTGCACTGCTTACATGGTGTAGTGTTGGGGCCGGGCTTGACGTCTTCGGTACTTTGTTGCTGTATGTTTTTTGTTTAGGGGCAGGCAAAGACTGCAGGCACTACATGCCTCGCGTCACAGCAGCCTGCGTTGCCGGTGCTGGGGGCGTGGTAGGCGGCAGTAATAGCAGCGGCGCCACAGCGTCAGCGCCAGCAGCAAACGCGGCAGTTCTGTTTGATCGCACAATGCAGAACGTTGTCGACAAGCTCTTTCCTCATTTTGCATATCAGGAGCGGCTGGAAGAGGAGGAGCTGCAGCGGTATATGCAGCTGCACCAACATAAGCAGCTGCCTCCTGAATACCTTACAGGCTGTCTCACACTGGGACCATTCAGGCGAGAGGCCGTGTCACATAGGAGAGCTCGTCTCGAAGCTAGAGCTGCAGCAGAAGAGGCACTGGGCTACCTGCACCTCAAACCCTCAATGTCACTAGAATCGAAACACGAGCATCAGCAAGCGTTGCACCATCAGCAACAGCAAAAAAATATCGACGCGCCACGAGGCTTAATTCAGAAGGACCAGCGCGGTGTAGTGCAGAAGGAGCGAGAGGGATTGCGCAGCAACAGCAGGAGAGGTGAACAGCAAAAACTGCAGCAGCAGCAGTCGCTAGACGAATTTGTAGACCAGCTGTTAGGCTCGCCTACATTCTTTGACGACCAGCAGACAACAGCCATTGCGCTTTTACCAGACACTTATCAGGGCCAATTGATGGAAGCTCGCGTGCAGCACCAAGCAGCACAGTCGTGCTCAGGGGAAGGTGCACTAATGGGCGAAAGCCGCCGTCAGGAGGCTCATGGCCTGCCGCTTCCACTGAAACTGCCGCTCATTAATCGCCCTTACTTACGCGTGCCGAGCCGGATGTCGATCCAGCTTGTTCTGAGGTATCTTGCATTGCAGCTGCAGCCTCTACTGTTCACAAAGGGTCCTACGGGAATTCTAACGAATAGAGACCGTGTCCCGGTGCTTGGAAATGCGTACAAAGAAGGCGTTAGTGACGTAGCAGGGTCCCCTGAAGACCCATTGGACCTAGAGGTGGCCCTAGAGCTGACCTTAGAGGGGCGCGTGCTTGGAAGGAGTCACTCAATAGATTTTGTGCGCAAGGCCAGACGTCTTAACTGCGCAGGCAAGTGCCTACTGCTGCAGTACAGGTATTCCGCCCAAACAGAAGCTAGAGTCATCGCCTACCACGTGAATGCGGTCAAGCGAGGCTGTACAACACCGCAAGAAGATTCATTTGTGGGAAGGGGAACCAGTGAGGCCAGAGGTCCGCCTTCAGCCGTCGCGTCAGCCATTTCGTAAGTCATGAAACGTACAGTTGCTGCCTGATGGTCACCGTGTACTAACAGCTCGAACAGCCTGCCACTGCGAGCCTGTTTTCCCGGATTTTGGGTTTACAGTGGCCACACTGTCTGCATGGCCCACCTCAAGTTCTCAAGATGGGAGCATTCTCCCTACGCTACGCTGCGACGAAGACCACTGGGTGTGCACCGCCGTCAGCGGGCAGCCATATGCCCTTTGGTTCACGTGTGCTCATACCCAAACCAACCTTGCGCTCCTGTGAAAGCCTGTTTACTTGCCTCTCTGCTAGCTAAAAGATGGCTATATGTGTCTATGACACGTTTCAACCCCTGTGTAAATGCGCTGAATCAGCATATCACTGTGTCAGCATATCACATGGGCGAATGTATACAGCACCCAGTTAGTGGCTAGTAAAGATGGCAACGTCCAGCAGCCCAGTACACTGAAGCTTCAGTTCCATTGATGAACAAGTCTTTCAAAGTAGGCCCACCAGCACATTGCTTGGAAACTTGCCACGTGCAATTAATGCGTGGGCTGGATCCGGCTCGTCTCAAACGGTTTCTGTTGTTGACGACTCCGCAGCAGCAAGTCGCTGCTGCATCTGCGCCACTGTCCTCTGAGCCCAGCTTATGCTCTCTAAGACTGTTTTCTGCAGCTGGTTAACCGCCTCGTCTGCTTTTCTCACCCAGGTTTGCAGTTCCTCCTGCTGCTTCTCCAACACTGCACAAGACGAACGCACGCCAGACCAGCTATTGGTTGTACGGCAACGCCACGTTTTTGTGGAATGTACTCCATCGTTTGTCTCTGGTAGAAAGCACGGAGGAGGTGCAGAGGATAAGTGCAAAGTTACCGGAGAGACGAACAGCGACGCCACCTGCTTCTTGATGAATCCCCTTGAGCAACTTCAGCCTTTGTAGCACCGACGGAAGCACTGCTGCCGGAGCCTTAAACCTTTCGCATATGTCGTACAGTTCTTCAACTCGCTGCCAGTCGCTGGAAGGTGAATGGCTCCCAGGAAGCCCCTTTACAGGCTCCTCCCCGGCTGGTAAAGCTGCGCTGGTGGTGACCGCCGAGACACCCTCCGCAGCCATGTCCAGTTCGTGGCGTCTCTGTTGCAGCGCGTGCAACTCTAGCAACAATCCCTGAACGCAGTCCCGCCACAAAACTTTATACGGTGTTTCCTAAAAACTGCAATTTTTGGTGTTTTCCACTCTGGCTACTTCACATAACTGAAATTCCACTCTATCTCCACCGTCCCCGGCACGCCCTTGGATCTCCCTGCAACTGCGGTTGTGGGCTTCCTGGTTCTGTGATTCCATTTCTCCACACCTGGACTCGTTTCTGTAGGCTCTCAATCTTCTGGTTGTCCAGCAGCTTGATGCGCTGCTGCATTTCATTAACCGCTTCAAACAGATCCGCATGCGGAAGCAGACTCATCTTATGGAGGCCAATCTTGTTCTCTACAAGAGCCAGGCGTCTTTCTAGGGTCGTAATGCGGCTCTGCTCCATCATGGGAGACAATGACGGCACGCAGTACACTTCGTAAGCGGTGGTGAGGGATCCCTTCGCTCCGTCGTCAGCGCCGCTGCCAGATGCTTCCTTGTGTGAGTCCGTCACCGCAGCCGCTGCAGCCGTGACATCCTCTGCTGCACAGAAGTCTTCCAGCTCTAGCTGTGAAAAGTAAACTAGATTGGCTCAGTCGTCAACGAGTGTTGTGTGTGACTTACGTGGGATGCTACTGGGGAGAGTTGATGTCCCTTTTGCCTCGTTGTCCAGCGTCTGTTGCAGGTGAGCTGAAGCAGCGGAAAGATGCTGCTGCAAAAGCGCTACTCCAGAACGCATGCCGCTTACAGGCTCAATGTGCGACACTAGCGCCTCCGTCCTTTTGTCGCTGAGAATGCTCGATACCTTAGGGTGCATCAGTGAACAACCAAAACATGGAAACTAGGGCTAAGTTGTACACTTATTTGGAGGAAAAAAAAAGAGATGTGAAGCAATACTTTTGGGGCAACAGCGTTTGAAAGACAAGGTACGGCTACCAAGAACGAGTTTTTTAGGTTCACTGTGGTGCATCGCTATGTATAACATGAACTGACGGCAGGCCCGTGGGAGAGTGAAAATAGTGGATGCGGGCCCAGAGCACAGAATGGGGCCAATAGATGCTATTCGTATTGCGGACAAAGCCATCAATGATTAAGAGGAAGACCCAAATAGGGGTAACTGGTTACTCCTGAGGAGTGGAAGACTTCAGGCTCCCTGACACGTCCGATCTTGGAGGGGCATACCTGCATGCGTAGCTTCTTTAGCTCTTCAATGAGCGCTAGAGGATCACGTCCAAAAAAGAGCGCCTCCTGCGCGGCGGGTGGGAGGCGACGTGCCTGGTAATGCACTTGCAGCGTTCCCAAATGTTTTGAGTGTTCTGATTCGTCTTTCGGCTCTCCTGGAGTCGGCACCCTCTGGCTAGATGCAGATTCTGCTTCTGACTGTTCGGAGATCGGCACCCTCTCCTCGACAAGAAAAGACGACACAAAATCCAGCATATCCTCCACCTCACCCTGTAGCCGCTTAAGCCTCCCTATTGGAGTTTCGAAGGAAGACCCATCCGGAAATTCGGATACAGAAGAAGACATCTGGACAAGTCATAATTCAAACCCGACACATGAAAAAGCGCATGATTGCCATTACGCTCGACAGCAATTATCCTCAAACCGTTACACAAGAACTAATGCACTGTCCCCTTGTGTGCATACAGTATCTGCGTACAACTGCAGTTCTGGCCGAGACGTCCCGACAGAAATTCCTCTACAGGTTGCGGGAAACGAAACACAAGCTGAAAAAGAAACGCTGCCTTCAACCTTTACAACACCCTAAAAGGGACGCTGCGGCCCTCCCTCTACCAGAAAACAAAGAAATGAACGTGAGTGGGCTGAGGAACCCCAGCTTCACAGCGACTGCCTCGGCAGCAAGAGAAGGGGAAGGAAATGTTTTCATTACTCACAGATTCAGATTCGCTTATCCGGCCGCACTTTAGGGCGTAGCACAGCGTCCGCTGCCCTCTAACTTCCAGAGTGCCCGAGTCCGAAGCCCCCCAACCCCTACGCGCTGCAAAACCATTTCGAAAAATGGTGCTCTTGTACGTCTTTCCTGAAGCGGAAAAAAAGCAAGCATGTCCTACCGTCAATATACAGTACGCTTCTGCTGACGGTTCCTCTTGTTTCACGAAAGTGTCATGTAATGGATCAGTACACCTGACGTTCAATCGCATGATATTGTGTCGCCTCGCAGTGGCTGGCCAAAATGTGCTCATGGATTCGGCGGCAGTTCATGGTCATAAGCAATAAAGGCACCGTTTACCTCTGAAAAATTCGTATGCAGTCGCTGGGCTAACTTCCGTGTCGTCAATTTCCTTGGCACCTCGCGTCAGCCTATAAGCGTCTGCAAACAAGGAGAGCTAGAAAGAAGAGTTCCCGTCTCCAGGACCACTGATAATTGTATCAAGAAAGTGGATGTAAGGCTCTGCCACTGGCCGCTAACTGCATCTTGATACAATTTGCAGTGGTCTGAGAGACGGTAACTCTTCTCAGGAAGCAGATAACTGCAAAAGCGGCACAGAAAGACCACGGACATTTGATCTTTCCCTGTTTATGCGGGAAAGTTGAGCTGATCCAGTCAACCAGACGACATCTGTCGTTGTGGGCTAAAAAGTTTGTGATTCTGGAGCTAAACTCCTTACCTCTATCGAAACCGTCGTTGGACGAGCCTGCATGTAATACTACAGAACCGGGATCCGGTGTATACTCATAAACTTCCTTCCCACCCGTCCCATTAGCGCCCAGCAACAGTTCGGCGCTTCTTGAAGAATCAGCTGAAGGCTGGTCATTCATCCTGGAGAACTGCAATAAGAAATATATGGAATGCGTTCTACGCGCAAGAGGAAGACGTAAACATCTGGCCCAACGTCCCTGCATACAACTCCTCCTAGCACAGTACGAACAGCAAGCGATTGACTAAATTCCCTCCGCACTCCGTTTGATCTTGATGATGTACAGCTAATAAGTGGAAGCGGCGGGGCTCAATACGCTTCTTGCCTGCCTGTTGCAGGCTAGGCAATGCAACACAGAAGCTCATGTAAATTAGTTGCAGCCCAGGCGGTGCAGTAGTATGAACGCCACGCCCACAGCTAGCACATCGGCACAGCTGCAATATCAGGATTTATCCGTTCTATGAAGTTTCTTCTGTAGGAAGTTCTTCGTATCTCAGCAGCGGCGACGGGCCCATTGAGTGTAGTACGCAACTTTGCGCCGTCAAACGGTCTTCGCTCCATCAGTTACGCGGGTGAACCACTGAAAGTAACCATACTATGGTACACTGTGGAGTTCCTGCAATGAGTATATTTAAGATCGCCAGCATAAATAATCTAGAGTACCGTCGAACGCATGTCAAGCGCGTGACGGGTAAGCGTGCCGGTGAGCACCGCAGTCAGCTCACATCAGGTGTGATGCGGAGACGAAACCTTGACTGCAAAAACTTTACTTAAGCGAAAATAACCTCGCTAATAGCTAGTTGATTCGAGCCACCGCATAGTACCCGAGGAAAAGGACTTCATGTGTTGGGACGGCGCGAGGACATGTGTCTGGCCTCAGGGAAAGTATTCCCACGTGGCTTCAAAGAGAGAACTCCGGAGTCAACTCTCTTTTTTGAAGCTTGTAGCTTTATTTGAGGAATTACTACACGTTGTCGACGGGTCAAATGGCAGCTTTCCCTGGGAGGCACCAAGCATGTCGCCAGGGACCATCATGGTCTTCTTTTTCGTAAGTAACAACAGTAAGCAGTTAGAAATAGACGTTTAACGAGTAGGGAGTGAAAGTATTCACAGCCCGTGAAAGAATGCGAGGCTGCTGTCATACTGGAGGCTGCTGTGCCGAAAAAACGGGAACGATTATTTGAGGGGAACACGTTGAGGCCTACGCTTGGGAGCCGATGAGAACGGCCACCGAAAAATAAAACTGTTAGTATTATACTTTCGTCCATGTGGACCTGCCACTACTGCATGTTGAGTCGCAGGGTCGAAGAAGAGTAAACCGCGGTAAGCAAAAGAAGAGTAAACCGCGGTAAGGACAACTCATCGAGCTCACCGGTAAATATGGTGCGATTCGTGCAATGCCAGTAACGAACACGTTACGTATGGCTACGACAAGTTTATACAAAGAGTGCGAGCAAAGCTTGTCTCTCGTGTCTAGCTACTGACGCTGCCATAGTAGCCTACGTTGGTACCGTTCCACTGAAAGAACAGATACAGCAAGTAGCGCACTTCCAGTATGCGGCATTGAGCGTTTATGCCCTTGATATGCGTGGAAAGTACATTGATTCCACAGAGAACTGGACGCTGTTTACTACTAAATGCCTTATGCAGGTGGCTGCTATAGGCGTTATCTGGTGCCCAACCCGATAGATGACCTGTCGCAGAGCGCTGTTACCTTTGCATCGTGGGGGCAGTTGCTATGCCAACGTGCACAGTCTCTAGAATAGGAGAGGAAATGGACAGAGATGCGAACTGCAATGGACTACCTGCTTGTACAATGCAAGGCCTCCCACGAGCACTCTTGCACGGCGTAGTCAGAATAGAACAGAACTGAGCCATGTCGCAAATGAAGAATGGGCCACCTCAGAACGAATCGTCTTAAATATAAGTAATAACAGTGAGAAACACCGACTCCGCAACAGTGCGCCTCTCCAATACTGTAAGCTGCGCGCTGGATTCTCAGCTGCATGCGCTTTGTCGATATCGCAGCCCAACTAAATTCCTGGCCGTTCCACATGCCTAAACTTATAAGCTATTGCTTCGTAAGAATATGCATTCTGCAGTGGTGAAAGGCACATTTCAGTCGAGGCAAATCCAGCCTAGGCCCCACCTCTGCAGGCCTTCTGTTGCAGCTGCAAACATGTCACGGTGTGCGCAAGAGTACAATGCAGCGTAGTGAGATAACAAGGGGCCCTGCCGAACCACTGTGCAGAGAAATCAATCGAAGCAATCTGAAGTTCGCTGCCCAGCACCTGCTTCTCTGCAAGTGTCAGAGTTGGCGCTTAACAGCCACCACAGCGAGAGGAATGAAAGGCTGTAGTGCGCCCTGTTGCTGTTCACTACAGGTGCGCATCACTTTTGCTTAGAAATAAGCGCCAACAGATCCCAGTCTTACTCCGACACCCTCTGTGCGCAATGCTATCAAGGCCGGCCATCTGCACTGTAGTCCCAGGAAACCTGCAAAATTCCACAGCTAGCATTTCGCGAATCCAAGACGTCCTGCGCCTCGAAAAGTTAACACGCCCCTCACCATTTGCGCAGCTGCGGAACATCTGCCACTAAAGCACGACTCAGAGTCCTTGAATCCCCGCGGCGCATACCGCAAGAGCCATCGCTGTGTGTGAAATGCCAAAACAACAGCCCTCAAACTTGCATAAAGCTGCAACAGCTGTAGAGTCCATGGGGGATTTACATCCACCGCATACGCATCAGTAGCACTTTCTCTGGACAACGGCGGGGCCATGTTCTTCGTATTCTTCACGACTACACCACGCAGCCTGAAAGGAGCTGAGACTCGAAAGAATCGACCCGCCGACCCAAGTTGAATACCGGCGCTCTGACGACCCAGGAACCGCCAGTAGGCGGACTTTCTGTCCCCCACATATTGCTGGATCTTCTACCAGCTCGCGGTTGACCCTTTCAACCATTCCTACATGCACACAGGCGCACACTGAAACACCATTTTGACGTGTCCTGTTTTTACACCTGTGAGACAACAGCATGTGACACGTTGATGCGACGTAGAACGCGTCCGGAGTGCCCACAGTGCTTTCCACCCAAAGGCAAAAAAAAGAGGAAATCAGTTTTCACATGCAGATATGAGCGGCTACTTACCAGGTATGCAAGAGCAGCCACCTGTGAGAATTAGAGCGCTAAGGATGTCGCGATTACCATCAGTCTCAACCGCCTCTGCCACTTGTCGCACTGCATCAGGCAGTCCTGGAAAGCCACCGCCGCCGCCAGGAACCGACGATACAAGTGCAGGGCAGAACAGTATCTCGGGGAGCTGCAACGTTGCACAGCTCAGCAGAGTTCTGGCTACTACAAAAGACAGCATGAAGCCACAAAAAGGCTGTCTACAAACTGACTACAACGATCCGTAGCTTATCGTTCCCAACAAAAGAAAGTGGGCTGGACAATGCCTTGATCCAAAAGGATACTTTAAGTTGAGAGTCGTGTGCCGCAGGCAGGTGATATCAGTTGAAGTACGATAATATCTTGCCTTCGTTGCAAGTTGTTCCGCCTCAAGGCGTGTGCCATCAGGCAGCTCCATGACCCCTCCTTCGACTCCGCTACTACCGGAGAGCAGCGCAGCGGCAGAGGCCGGTGTTGAGCACGGGAATATAAGCTGAGACGAACCGGAAGCCTCTGCTGTTGCAACTCCACGTCTTTTGGCTTGTTGTTGAGGGCTTGGGAGTGCAATAGGCTTTTGAGCTAGGGCCACATCCCTTGGGTCATCCGCTACGCGGCACAAGCCTTCCTTTAGGAACGAAAGAGTCTGCATGCGGCTGCACAGGAAACAAACAGGACGACTTAACGAACCACGTCAGCGTCAGAAGTACTGTAGTTCAGCAATGAAACAAAAAAATGCAGCATTTCCCTGAAAACCCCGGCGCTCCCACTTCCAGTGTTTCGCACGCGTCGTGACCAACCAGTAAATGTGCTACAAGGGCGATGAGTAGACAAGTCACAGAGTGGATCATACAGCAACCGGAGTCTCACCACATCTTTGCATTTCACTACCCCTTAAAAACTTCTTTCCACCCCTAACAGACTCTAGTTTAATAATTTTTTTAAAATTAAGAACAAATATTAAGTTCTTACATAAAAATATATTATAACCACCTATATACGCTTTACGGAAGAGCGTGTGGCTACGGACCACAACAGTGTGGCTTAGTTCCTTCTTGGCCGTATTAGTTTTGTTTAAATAAGCATAGACGGAGTAGAGCAGTCTCTTTAGCTCATATTAATTTATTACTATTAGGAAAATTTTTAACATGCGAATATAGTGAATTATTTGATCTAAAATTAAAAGATAAATTGAAAAAAAATGATAAATATTTTAAAACATTAAAATTCATTACATTAGTAATATTTAAATCAGAAGTTAATGATAATTTTTGAAAATAAAGTGCGCCTAAACACATTTCGGGGAGGACCAGATACCTTCGAATTCAATAGGCACATCACCGCTAATCTCATCTCTTCTGATGATTTTGCAATATCAACCAGTACAAATCTTCCTTCTTTCTTTCTTTATATTTATTTTCAAAAGAAAATCTCCCCAGTAACAAGCTCCGCAACAGCACTGTAATCCTTGTAAAGCCCCTTACATGCTGATTCGCTCACCTCCAGTGCACGTACGAAGGATGAACGTTATCCCAGTCCCCAGGCTTGTCTAGTGAAACCTTCACCATTCTACTCTGTGCCGAAAATCGCGCAAAGCTAGGGTGCACGGGCAAATTGTGCCCCACGAGAACTGCGCTGAGAAGCTGACTCATTGCATCGCCGCCTACTGGCCACTCCGTAACATGTTGATCTAGTACGAAAGAGTCTGAAACGGGAGCGATTGATAGCCCAGAAGCCCCCATGTCGATGACCAGCGCGCTGCTTCTCCCCAATGCAACACATGCCAAAAGTGCGCGTTTCGCCGTGTACAAAGATCCTACTTGTAAGCTTTCAAAAAGTATTTCTGCCATCTTTTCCCTGACCTCCCTGCTGTGTATGTTCGGCTCAGAAAGGAGCAGCGGCTGCTCCCGCAAGTCTGCCCCGATCCCGCATAGCTCCGTCAAACGCAAAGTACTCTCAGGGGAGCGTGTTGAACCATTGGGGTCTACACAGTTGAGATAAACTTCGTCCCCTCTGCGACCGAAGGGGGCCGCGCGTGCTCCTGTGCAACTGATAGCTACAAGATTCTCGAATGCTTCTTCGTGCAGGGTGTACACGGGATTAAAGTCAATCTTCCGCTTTCCAATAGCCCCGCGCCAGCTCGGAAAGAGCGCAGGCACCACCTCCACACAATCGCGGCGCTGGGAGAAGTTCAGCGGGAAGATAATCTCGCGCGTTGTGTCACTCTGGCCGTAATTTTCGGCTGATGAACCCTCCTGAGGGACGCGCAGCTGACGAACTCCTATGCATGAGTTCAGCAGTTGTGACGGGCTTCCTTCACCTGCGTAGCCCACGCGCGTGGTTGACGCCCCAATGTCAATCACGAGGCTTGAACTGATCAATTCCATTTTCCAAAAATCTGCTACGGCGTCCCCTCCTTCAGACGAAAACCCAAGACACGTTAAGACGGAAGAGGGACTGTTCCACACGGGAAAATTTTCAAGTGGTAGCGTGGAACAGTAGAGGGGTACATGAGGGTGCAACCAACGTCGGAGGCGAAACTAGAGTCTTTCTGGGTGTTGTTGTGAGCCTTAATTTCTTTTTTCTTGCTTGTGCACCGGCTCTATAGGTGGCCGAGTCCGAGTGTTTGGGCCTGAGTTAGCAGGTGCCTCTGTTCCCATTTACGCGCTCCAGTGGACGAAGTGTTCAAGGGATCCTCGGTAGTCACAGATGCAAGGAGTATTGCCGCAAAACTCTCAAATTTATGAGCTTTAATGCATTTGCCGCAGGCATTCCCGAGAAGGGTAAATATCTTCACTGTGCCGCCTCCTGGTCCCACCCCCGAACGAGTTTCGTTCGCTCTATTGACAGTGCATAGCTCCCTGGCAACATTCAGCTTCAAATGGCCTTCTTCGCTGCCACTAATGTACTAAAAAATATGCATGCATGGTATTGAATCTTGTGTTCACTGCGTTTCGGCGTGCAACGCACTGGGGCCTTGAATGACTTGCATGCGACCGTGCTGAGGCTTTGACTACCATCCGCTGAGTTTTGGTTTTCTATTGTTTCTGCTGCCTAATTGTTCTTTTGATGACTGAGATGCATGCTATTGTCTCAATCGCTATGACGTGGAACGGTCGCCGCTTGCGTGGAGCAGCAGGCCCAGCACAACTTTCTGATCCATGTATACATATTTCTTCCAGGTATTCCTCGTAGTAAGCTTGCGGTGTCGCTTTCGGCGCACTTCGCCAACTTTCAAGAGGCGTTGTGCCTGAAGAACACGCGTGCCTGTCGTAGAGCCAGGAAGCGTAACTATGTCTTCAGAGGCCCACAGGACGCAGCTCTAGTGGGTTCATTCCATGATCTTCCTGCTGTAGTGAAGCAGTTGTGGGTCATAAAAAATGCATGAACTACGTGCTCGTATGGCAAAGGCTGGAATAGTTTGTTGAACGGGAGCGCCAGCCTTCCTAGGTTGAGGAGTATTTTAGGTCGGGAAGTGGTCTTGCAAGATGGGCCATTCGAGTGGAAGCAGCAGTGAAGTTGAGGGGGGAAACATAAATAGAAGTAATAAACGAAAGGCGAAAAAGGAGAGAAAAAAATTCAAAAAGAAAACCCGCGAAAAGCGCACAAAACGAGAAGAGGAGCATTCTCAAGTGGTGTGCAGTATTATGCTGTTCTTTTCTCTGAGTGCTGGATATTGTAGCCTTTAATGAGAAATGAGTCACAACAACGTATCAGCCAAGTAAATAGGGTAGGTTCTGGGAAAGTTGCAAGACCGTAGAGGGCTGTTGAGCATTTTCGCGTGTTAGAGGCATGTTCGCTTTGTGACCCTAGGACGCGATCGACAAAGAAGATGCTGATCGCCTTCTTATCTCTTTACTACAGCTGTCCCCTCAAATGGAAAAGGAGGTAAGCAGAATTTGCTCGGGTGAAGAGTGTTTTGCTGCGCTCGGGGAATTTTTTGATGATTGATCGATGGCGTTTTTGCCTGTTTGAATTCAGCTGTTGGATGTATTCGAGCAGTTAGACTCGTGGGGCATTGTGTATTTGCATGACCTTGGGGACCTACGTCTGAGGAAGAAGCTACGTCACCTTTTCCGAGCCTTATGTGTTGGCGAGGTGTGTCACCCTACCTCACCTGGCACAGAACCCACTGCTATTCTCTTACCTACAAGCGCCACCCATGAAAGAATAATGCATACCGTCCGGAGCTTGGTGCTTCGACTCCGTATTTTAAGCGCACTGGACACGGCTGGTCTCATGAAGAGTAGTCAAGACAGTGCAGGGTAGCAGCAGTGTAGCAGCGCTTCAGTGAATTATCAGGATGCTAGTAGTGTGCTGTGGCTCTTTCAAGGTCGAGGGTGAAAAGGGAAAAGGCTGGAGAAAGGCGCTGACTTATAAAAGTTCGCTGTCGAAGCTCGTAAAGCGCCGCTGCAAGGAACTGCGCTCACAGCTGGACCTTTCGAGCTTTCCATCCGAAGTTCAACAGCCTGAAGTTCATGAAAGTGAAGAAAATCCCGCAAAGGAACTAGCATTCGATGCAGAGAGGGCGGAACGCAAGGCTGAGGAAGCTGTGCAGCGTTGGCGAGGCCAGCAGCCCCAAGATTCAAGTCTTTTACCAACAGAGTCTCCTCAGCAAGAGCTTGCACACCAGTCAGCGGTAAATGGAGGAGCACCTAGAGTAAGTTTGCGGAGGACAGCCTCCCAAACCCTTGAAAAGAGATGGCTTTGGCATGATATGCAGATGCTGACGTTTTGCTCAAAATGGAGAGATTGCAGCAGCGGAGCAATCTGCTTTGTTGCTGATACGAGGTCACACATATTATGTGGCAGTAATTCTTTGTACTTCAGAGAGAGGAGTGGATGCTTGAAGCCCCAGCCTATCTCCGATGCCTTGCTACAGAGGATAAACCTGCTGCAAAGCGAATGAGTAAGAACGTCTTCGTTCAAAACCACTGACGTAATGCAGCGTGGCAACACTTCGCGTTCAGTCAAGACACCTGTCATTTATGGTCATCTTGTGTACTCTGACTACTGAATTGTACACGCTGCTTGTTGCTGTGGCCCAGAAATCTTGCAACAAAAGAAAAAAGAAGACGAAGAAGCTGTACGGGTGAAGGCAGTGATGGATGAATGGAACAAATCCCGCAAATTACAAAGCCTACGGGAAATGCGAGAGCAAGGTTAACAAGAGCCACCATCTGCGCATAGTGACGATTTTACATTGAAACTTACGGGAGATGACTTAAGCATTTTCTGACCGCAGAAGTGCATCGATACAAATATCACGTTGCGCACTAGAACGCAGAATGTTCCGAGGTTTTTGTCCGGTGAACAGGGGATTTTGCGGAAGGCGAAGAAGCATATAAGCGTTGGAAACGAAGCATGGATGCGGCCCGAAACGTCTGGGGCAAGCGGGCGGCAGAGCAGGCGGTTGAACAGGAGTTCGTGAGTATGGGGCACCACGAAAACTGTCGGGGAGCCCGGATACTTGCGTTTTGTCGGTTACAAGTAGAAGTGATGAAAAAACTACGGGTTACGCTGGATTGGTGATGCTGTATCTCTGCTGCGATGCCGGGTGTTTCATGCTGCAGCAGGACGATGTGAAGAAGGGTCAACCGTGGCAGCGTTTTGATAGAGACCGTGATCTTCAGGCAAGAGTCAACAGGCTGCACTTTGACACACGCCACCGCCACCGTTTCGTTTGCACTGCGCTGGTGGCTCAAAGTCTTTCAATTGCCCAGCCAGTTCCACATTTCGGGAAATCTTCAGGCTACTGAACATTTCACTCGTGGTGGCCCGAATCATACTGCAGTACTCACTTGATTGCTTGCATGCATTTTACATTTCAGGTTACGCGGCAAATACCACGAGACGACTATAAGAAACTGGTACGATAGACTTGCCAAAGCGGCGCTATCGACTGGATGCCGTGCGCCGTCTTCTCAAGGAGTGCTGCCCCTCTGCATGGGAGGAAACTCCGCGAATACTTATGGAGTCTTTCTTTCTTGTGTTTTACTTGCAGCTTGAAGAGACAAAGCTGAACGCACGCTTCAAATCGTCCTGGCAGACCTCATTCTTGTGAGGTTCGCAGCTGTAGTGCAGGTACAAAGTGGGTGCATGCTTCAAGTCGTCGCGTCAGGTATCAGTTTTGTGATGTTTAATCAAAGTGCAAATACAGCAGATTGTCGCAGGACAGAAACGAGTACACATACGCTGCGAATTTGGCTAAAGCAGCTCAGGAGAAGCGGCCTAACATTTTCGCGTATCTTATTGCCCTCAATGATGTCAGTCACAAAGTCCAAAAACTGACAAAAGTCCTAATTGTGCACTTAGCGTCGGCAGTGAAAAGGCATATCCTTTGGAAAGGATGTTACCCCGGTGGCCGATGAATATGCTGTTTGGGCGGAGGCTTACTTTACTTAGTGATGCTCGTAGAATTTCCTCTATTCGAGCCTCCCGAGATGCAGTGAAAATGATCACGCAAATCAGAGCGAACGTTTGCCCCAAGAATGAAGACGCAATGCCATCAATGTGAAGACTCATAATTTCCGGCCACCTGTCATATGGCACAAGTCCTATAGTAACGCTGCCTTGCCCTGTGAAGTTTCTTCAGATGATTTTCTACAAAGTCCCAAGTGCGCTTTAAAGAGGCAACAGGCTCAAGAGCACGCAACCTTCGTATATCTATGCCCACCAGTATAAACCGAGTACTCCACGGTAGCGGCCAGTGGCTTTCGGACAGCACCTGAAGCGGTACCGATATGTGCAGGGACTAAACGTGTGCTACTTGTGTCTGGATAGAAGCAGAAATGCGTCGGAGAGTATGTAGCCACATTGGCTCGCGTCACTGCATTCGGAAGCGGTCGTGCGTTTCGCCGCGAGAACATTTCAAAGTACTCTCACGTTCACACGCCCACGCGTGCACGAATATATCTGCATACTGCAAATTGGAATAGGGAATTTACGTTGGGAATTCCTTGGCGAGCCAAAATTACTGGACTAAAGCTACAAGTAGCCCAAAGCGGAACGGGCTTGGTTTGAAGAAAAACAACTCACTTCTACCTCGCATTTCTTGAATCAAACCTACTGAACATCAAGAGTTGTGTCTTGAAACTGCAATAGCCTCTTGATTAATATGCACTCCAGGAAGCGCATTCATGCACAATAAAGCCTCCCCCTAAGCGTGATGCGAGAAACCATGCCGTTGTTGGCTGGAGGCAAAAATGGTGTATGAAACGGCTAAGCTATTGTTGTGCGCCTTTTCTGCTTAAGTGAAATATGTCATATAAAGCACCACAAAGTGCCTTCACTGCAGAAGCTACGGGCTTCGGAAGTGCCCCAGATAATGCGACGGGCTTCGCTAGAGCATCCTTGCATGTGTCCACTAGAGAGCCAATGGAAAAACGCTTCCTGTTGACTAGTTCCAAAGCTTTTAACCAGTGCCGATATGTACTGACTGCACTTTCTTTATGCAATGCTTAAAAGCGACCTTCTCACTGTCGGTGATCACGTCAGCCATTTGGTGCACCGGTCTAGTGTTTCCCTCCCAAACTATAATTATGCGCTCAGCCCTTCGGTAGCCGGGCAATTTCTTCGCAGTGAAGGCAGCTGAAACCAACGTTAGAGATCAAGCAAACAGCAGCGTTTCGACGGGCTTATCTAACCATCTCAGTCATTCATGCTGCATTTTTCGGCATAAAAAGCCGAGCAAATTTTCAGGAACTTGGCGCACACTCGTTGAAACGGCCGATGTGAAAGCGTCTCATCTATTGTCGGCTCAAGAACGGACTTCCTCCACTTTCTCACCCTCATCTCACCGCAGCTCATTTGAACCTATATATCTTGGAACCCGAATTGCTCCGTTCAGCAACGGCTGTCTGCTCAACTGTCACCTGTCAGGGTTCTGCGCTTGTTCATTAGTCTTAGGCCACTGCACCTATTAAAGTGATCTCCAAGTGCGAAAAAGTAGTGGCCAGAACAGCCACATTTCAGCTTACATCGGCAGCACTGGAGAAGAATGAATCCATAAGTTTTGCCTTCGTACGACTGGCAACCCAAAACTACAGAAACTGTTCTGATTAAGAAGCAATTACATTTTATCGTCCACTCCGCATTGCTTTACTGTAACTCAGCTTTGCTTAAATTCACGTGGTGCTTCATGCACCTGACCTACTTTGCCTCTTTCGCTTTCAGCAGCCTCCTCATACAGGTGGTGCACACAAGCCGGTGCAAACTCAGGTGACAAACTATACTGCCCCACGAATCTGCTTGCATTGCAGGATTCACATCCATTCGACTGCGTGTGGACCCGGGAGCGCTGACACGCTCCCGCGGCGAAATCGCTCGTGAAGGTAATGACAACACCAACGTTGCAACAGTTTCTCCGAAAGTAGTTCTGTCCTTAACCGCAAAAAGACTGTTCGTTAAGCTCTTGCACAAATCTCTGCTGCTGCAGGTACCGTACGAATGCCACTTGCCACGAGCGTGAAGTCTTTGGTCCTACGATGCACGGACGCTGCGTGCAGGTGGGCCTTCGCTCTTTACTGAGCGAACTTTTACATAAAAATGCCATTTAACTATATTGCAAAAACGTTCTGTCAACGAGCGAAGGGCTGGCAGTAGATTAAGCCACGTGAGTATTGCAAACAGCGGCTGTGCTCAAAGCAGAGTGCGGGCAGAGCACGACAGTTTCTCCAAAGTAATATAGTTGGCGTGTGAAGTACAAGGATGGAACCGAAAAAAAACAATTTCACCCTGTTTAGCGAAACATCAATTTTTACTTTTATTAACAATTACGGTCGTTTTACAACCCATGCCCGTCGAAACAGAATCCTGCAGACTGCTATCAGAGACGCGCGATTTCGCATCACCCAACGCGCTCGCGTGTCGTCACCGTCTCGTACCTTCCTGGCTTCGTCCACATGATAGACAAAAGGTCTGTAGGACTATTTGATGATTGCAAGCTCTCACCACAACTTATTTTTTGCCTACTCGAACGCCTTGGAAAGGACCAGACGAGCCGTTGGCATTTGACTCTGGAAGCTTCCGTAACCGAAACTATGAGCTTGCACATTTTGAAGACATCCGGAATTGCCGAGATAGGCTCAGTGTTTGTAAAGGCTGCCAGGGCTTTGGTTATTGAGGCAGCTGCGGCAAATTGACCGTCTGCAAGGTAAACTTTCTTCAACTCGCCAAGGGAACCTCTTCAACGCTTAGAGCGCGCATAACGTCAACGAACGGTTGTGACTGTAGAACTACGTTCCCCTCTGCCAGCAGTCCCTCCACAACGGCACTCCGCTCTTTCCGTAAGAGCCTGACCGCTCACACCTTTCTCCACGGAGTTTGGAACAGTGAAAAGCAATACGCAAGATTACAAATATCTTGCATATTACTTTTCACTGTTGCATCGCAGCGTACCCCATCAGTTTCACATCAATTAGGGCTGGCAGAGAACCGAGAGTTATGCCCCTGGACAACGTTTTCGCCGGGACGCGGAATCCAACTGACCAGTTCTTGGACTTTATGAGCAGGGAGCTGTGACACTCGAATTTTCTTCTCTCAATATCCAACACTCCGAGCGAAATGAGAACGCCCATTTCGGTTTTTGAATGAGCGACAAGATTCTACAAATGCGGATGCACCAGAATTTCCCTGAGTTCCCACAGCCAGCAGCCCCATAAACCGAAGTACCCACATCGAAAGACTTTATACGAAAGTGGCATGAGTTGCCCAAGAGCCGACCTTCGGCCGGCCAGTTCCGCTTTTTCGGTTCATCGTTGGAGCCCATCTCCGTCGTTCATGACTTTCAATGCTTAAGCACATAGTTGCATAGTGTATATGAACTGCTGCTCTGGAGTTTCCGAGCTGCAGCACAGGGGCAGCTGTCTAGAAACAGGTAGCTCTTGGCCAGCAAGCGGCCGTTCTCTATGCAGCGTACAAATGCAACTGTGCGCTGAGGACTCCGAGGAGGCGGCTTCAATGGGTATGTCAAACCCTCTCTCCGCAAGGGCGATGCACAGTCCAAAACCCAGGCAGGCAAAGGGAATGTGGCAGTTGATGCAGTCGTTCCTGCAGTGCTGGGGTCTGATCAGAGGATGATGCAGTCGTTCCTGCAGTGCTGGGGTCTGGTCAGGGGAAGGCATGCTGACGTGGGAGCTTGCTGAGAGTCCTGGCTGCCCGTAGGAGAGGCGTTGTGTATCGTCAGCTGCAATGCGGATTTTCAGAAGGGTGAGTCCTTTCACGGTGAACCTGTCCGGGTTTAGCGCTTCGAGGAGGCAAGTGCAGCAGGTGTTGCAGTCTGCCCCTCTATTGGTGCTGCTTCGGATTTGACTCCTGCCTGCATGCCTGTGCCGCTTCTGGTCAATCCTCCACCCGCACTTCTCCAGGCCAGGAGAGCAAGGACTCGCTGCATTGGTGCTAATTGCTGCCTGCTGAGTGCTTCCGGTCTATTTGTGTTTCGCAGGTGGGCAGTTTTGGGTGCCTGGCCCTTTGGCTTACGAGACTCGTCCTTTCGCAGGGATGTGCCTGCTCGCTACAACGAAGCATCAAAGGCAGATTTCCTTTTCTGTCGCAGCGTGTCTAACTGTTCGGTCTCAGGCGCTCACTCAGTCCCCCTTCGGTTTTGCGGTTGTGTACGCTGGAGGTGGTACTCAGCTGGTGTGCTGGATGTTTCATCAACTTGACGGTTTGCACTGTCCATATATGCGGTTGCTTTGGCGTGCACGCTGCCGCGCCGGGTCTTATTTTCGCTTCAGGCTGTTATGACGTATTGCATTTACTACTACAACGTATCAGGCCCAGGGGTCGTTTTTGCGTCAGCTTCCTGAACCTGGTTGATTTCCTTGCGTCCAGTTCACCTGGCTTTTGTGTCCGTGGGTTACGCCATGCACCCGTGTGCGATCTTATGGACACGACGGCGTAAGTACGGCTGTCCGTGTTTTGCGGACTTCTTGCCCTGCAACGCTATTGTAGAGCTACGCAGTGTACAACGAATGTGGAGTTTAGACGTGGCGGCCACTCGGCTGACTTGGGCACACTACTTGCGGATCCGCCAGCAGGTAGTACTGCTTGCTTTGTTCGAGCAGGTTTGTGACCTGCGGATGTGAGCACAGGCGAGTGGTACTTAAAGGCTTCTCAGTGAGTCAGTATGTTCGGAGCGCGGGGGAGGGGCTCTCCTTTGGTGCGTTTTGCGCGGAGGCAGTGTTGTTAGTACTGTATGAGTTCGTCAGGTAATGGAGTGAGCGACAGGGGGACTTTGGACTTTGGCGCAGTCTGAGGTGTGGGGAGTGTTGAGTACTGGCCATCTCGGCCACGGCGGGCTCTGTCTGGCACACAATCATTTCATGTGACGTAACGAAGCAGCTTGCGAGTCTCAGAAGCTGCACAGACACTTCGGCGAATCTCACAAGTTTTGTAGGTCCTACGGGTGTTCCATTAGTTGAGGCGGGACCGAGGCTTCTTGTCGAGCGAAACTTCAACCTCGGTGGAGAGGAAGAAACGTCTCATTCTCGCCCAGTGGCTGCATCTTTTCTACCTACCTTTCGCTTCACCTTTCATTTGGCTTCCACGCGGCGGAGACGAGCACCACCAAGCTTATGCGGCCTTTTGTGGTGCATGCTAAGTTTGCCCAGAGGTCGACAATGCTGCAATGCAGTTGCCCTTGATCTATGAGCCCAGTTCCGTGCTTGAACACATATGCGCCCACGTTTCCATACTTCTGCGCAGGCTTCTAAGTGTCTGTCTGTCTTTTCCCAGGTGGAGGTCACGCTGGCTGTGTTTTAAGGTGCAGCAGCGGGTAGGGCATGCGTACTCAACTTACCTATATTTCACTCTGTGCACATGCCTTTTGAGAAGAGCGCCGCTCTGGATATTTTATCTCGAATGCTGCACTGAGGGATCTTTGAGTTTGATAGCAGGTGCTACTCAGGAAGTGAAGCGTGGACAATTATAGGCGCGCTTTGCGGCTGTGTGGGGTGGATATTATGCCCCTATCTTCGAAGCGCTCGCTCCCCCAGTTGGCAACGTCGCCGTCTCGTTTCCTCGCCCCTCTCAAAACCCCCTGTGGGAGGCAAGCGTTACTGCGAGTGCGCACCTGTTCCTGTGGCTCCGGCAAAGAATCAGAAGTTATCCTTTTGCTTCCCACTCTTATTCATTGGGATCAGGCAGGTGAACTCAGGTATTTCGATCCTCGGACTCGAAGATGAAGGCTTTCGTTACCCTCGCGACTGCCCTCGGGGCTTTCCTTCCCCTCGCTTTGGCTGATGATGCTAGCGTCGCCGAGCTGCCTGCCGTAATGCAGCAAGAGACCGCTGTGGAGGACGAATCCACTGCTGCAACAACTGAGGAAGCCGAAGAAACCTCTCCTCGTGTGTACTTCCTAGACAAGTTGTTCAACCAGTTCCTCCAGTCCTCGCAGGCTGCAGACTCCCATTTCCCCCAGTTCTCCCACTCTTTTGAGCAATTCCATCACCATCCGCATCATCATCCACATCATCATCATCATCATCCTCCTCCTCCGCCCCCACCAATCTTTGTCCCGATTCCAGTTCCTCCACCCACTACCACTACTACCTGCCCACCGGCTCCTCACCCCAGGCCCCCGAGCCACCACCACCACAGCCACGGCCATCATCACCACCACCACCACCCTCCTCCTCCTCCTCCTCCCATCTTCATCCCCATCCCTGTTCCCCCGCCAACTACCACCACTACCTGCCCACCGGCTCCTAAGCCCCAGCCCCCGAGCCACCACCACCACAGCCACGACCACCACCACCACCACCCTCCTCCTCCTCGTCCTCCCGTCTTCATCCCCATCCCTGTCCCCCCACCAACTACCACCACTACCTGCCCTCCGGCTCCTAAGCCCCAGCCTCCTAGCCACCACCACCACAGCCACGACCACCACCACCACCACCCTCCTCCTCCTCCGCCTCCCGTCTTCATCCCCATCCCTGTCCCCCCACCAACTACCACCACTACCTGCCCTCCGGCTCCTCAGCCCCAGCCCCCGAGCCACCACCACCACAGCCATGACCACCACCACCACCACCGCCCCCTTCCTCCTCCCCCTCCCCCTCCTGTCTTCATCCCCATCCCTGTCCCCCCGCCAACTACCACCACTACCTGCCCGCCAGTCGCTCTCCCTAAGCCCCCAAGCCACCACCACCACAGCCATGACCACCACCACCATCATGGCGGCCACCACCACCATCATGGACACCCCACTACCCTCCCCTATTTCATCCCTAACCCCGGGTACCCTCAGTACCCCCTGCAGCCCCGTGAAACCGAGTACCCACAGCAGGCTTGATAACATGCTAGTTGTGCCAAAGTGGCATAAGGTGCCCGAGTGGCGACCTTTCAACAAACAGGTTATCTAATTTTTGTTCCGGTTCTTGTCTCGATCGTATCTGCGTTCTAGTCAGAGGCTATAGATAAATTCATGACCGCAGAGTTGCGTAGTGTCGAGTGTGAACTGGTTCTCTGGAAGTTCCGAGCTGCAGCACAGGGGCAGCTGTCTAGAAACAGGTAGCTCTTGGCCAGCAAGCGGCCGTTGTCTATGCAGCGTACAAATGCAACTGTGCGCTGAGGACTCCGAGGAGGCGGCTTCAATGGGTATGTCAAACCCTCTCTCCGCAAGGGCGATGCACAGTCCAAAACCCAGGCAGGCAAAGGGAATGTGGCAGTTGATGCAGTCGTTCCTGCAGTGCTGGGGTCTGATCAGAGGATGATGCAGTCGTTCCTGCAGTGCTGGGGTCTGGTCAGGGGAAGGCATGCTGACGTGGGAGCTTGCTGAGAGTCCTGGCTGCCCGTAGGAGAGGCGTTGTGTATCGTCAGCTGCAATGCGGATTTTCAGAAGGGTGAGTCCTTTCACGGTGAACCTGTCCGGGTTTAGCGCTTCGAGGAGGCAAGTGCAGCAGGTGTTGCAGTCTGCCCCTCTATTGGTGCTGCTTCGGATTTGACTCCTGCCTGCATGCCTGTGCCGCTTCTGGTCAATCCTCCACCCGCACTTCTCCAGGCCAGGAGAGCAAGGACTCGCTGCATTGGTGCTAATTGCTGCCTGCTGAGTGCTTCCGGTCTATTTGTGTGTTTCGCAGGTGGGCAGTTTTGGGTGCCTGGCCCTTTGGCTTACGAGACTCGTCCTTTCGCAGGGATGTGCCTGCTCGCTACAACGAAGCATCAAAGGCAGATTTCCTTTTCTGTCGCAGCGTGTCTAACTGTTCGGTCTCAGGCGCTCACTCAGTCCCCCTCCGACTTTGCGGTCGTGTACGCTGGAGGTGGTACTCAGCTGGTGTGCTGGATGTTTCATCAACTTGACGGTTTGCACTGTCCATATATGCGGTTGCTTTGGCGTGCACGCTGCCGCGCCGGGTCTTATTTTCGCTTCAGGCTGTTATGACGTATTGCATTTACTACTACAACGTATCAGGCCCAGGGGTCGTTTTTGCGTCAGCTTCCTGAACCTGGTTGATTTCCTTGCGTCCAGTTCACCTGGCTTTTGTGTCCGTGGGTTACGCCATGCACCCGTGTGCGATCTTATGGACACGACGGCGTTAGTACGGCTGTCCGTGTTTTGCGGACTTCTTGCCCTGCAACGCTGTTGTAGAGCTACGCAGTGTGCAACGAATGTGGAGTTTAGACGTGGCGGCCACTCGGCTGACTTGGGCACACTACTTGCGGATCCGCCAGCAGGTAGTACTGCTTGCTTTGTTCGAGCAGGTTTGTGACCTGCGGATGTGAGCACAGGCGAGTGGTACTTAAAGGCTTCTCAGTGAGTCAGTATGTTCGGAGCGCGGGGGAGGGGCTCTCCTTTGGTGCGTTTTGCGCGGAGGCAGTGTTGTTAGTACTGTATGAGTTCGTCAGGTAATGGAGTGAGCGACAGGGGGACTTTGGACTTTGGCGCAGTCTGTTGAGGTGTGGGGAGTGTTGAGTACTGGCCATCTCGGCCACGGCGGGCTCTGTCTGGCACACAATCATTTCATGTGACGTAACGAAGCAGCTTGCGAGTCTCAGAAGCTGCACAGACACTTCGGCGAATCTCACAGGTTTTGTAGGTCCTACGGGTGTTCCATTAGTTGAGGCGGGACTGAGGCTTCTTGTCGAGCGAAACTTCAACCTCGGTGGAGAGGAAGAAACGTCTCATTCTCGCCCAGTGGCTGCATCTTTTCTACCTACCTTTCGCTTCACCTTTCATTTGGCTTCCACGCGGCGGAGACGAGCACCACCAAGCTTATGCGGCCTTTTGTGGTGCACGCTAAGTTTGCCCAGAGGTCGACAATGCTGCAATGCAGTTGCCCTTGATCTATGAGCCCAGTTCCGTGCTTGAACACATATGCGCCCACGTTTCCATACTTCTGCGCAGGCTTCTAAGTTTCTGTCTCTTTTCCCAGGTGGAGGTCACGCTGGCTGTGTTTTAAGGTGCAGCAGCGGGTAGGGCATGCGTACTCAACTTACCTATATTTCACTCTGTGCACATGCCTTTTGAGAAGAGCGCCGCTCTGGATATTTTATCTCGAATGCTGCACTGAGGGATCTTTGAGTTTGATAGCAGGTGCTACTCAGGAAGTGAAGCGTGGACAATTATAGGCGCGCTTTGCGGCTGTGTGGGGTGGATATTATGCCCCTATCTTCGAAGCGCTCGCTCCCCCAGTTGGCAACGTCGCCGTCTCGTTTCCTCGCCCCTCTCAAAACCCCCTGTGGGAGGCAAGCGTTACTGCGAGTGCGCACCTGTTCCTGTGGCTCCGGCAAAGAATCAGAAGTTATCCTTTTGCTTCCCACTCTTATTCATTGGGATCAGGCAGGTGAACTCAGGTATTTCGATCCTCGGACTCGAAGATGAAGGCTTTCGTTACCCTCGCGACTGCCCTCGGGGCTTTCCTTCCCCTCGCTTTGGCTGATGATGCTAGCGTCGCCGAGCTGCCTGCCGTAATGCAGCAAGAGACCGCTGTGGAGGACGAATCCACTGCTGCAACAACTGAGGAAGCCGAAGAAACCTCTCCTCGTGTGTACTTCCTAGACAAGTTGTTCAACCAGTTCCTCCAGTCCTCGCAGGCTGCAGACTCCCATTTCCCCCAGTTCTCCCACTCTTTTGAGCAATTCCATCACCATCCGCATCATCATCCACATCATCATCATCATCATCCTCCTCCTCCGCCCCCACCAATCTTTGTCCCGATTCCAGTTCCTCCACCCACTACCACTACTACCTGCCCACCGGCTCCTCACCCCAGGCCCCCGAGCCACCACCACCACAGCCACGGCCATCATCACCACCACCACCACCCTCCTCCTCCTCCTCCTCCCATCTTCATCCCCATCCCTGTCCCCCCACCAACTACCACCACTACCTGCCCTCCGGCTCCTAAGCCCCAGCCCCCGAGCCACCACCACCACAGCCACGACCACCACCACCACCACCCTCCTCCTCCTCCTCGTCCTCCCGTCTTCATCCCCATCCCTGTCCCCCCACCAACTACCACCACTACCTGCCCTCCGGCTCCTCAGCCCCAGCCCCCGAGCCACCACCACCACAGCCATGACCACCACCACCACCACCGCCCCCTTCCTCCTCCCCCTCCCCCTCCTGTCTTCATCCCCATCCCTGTCCCCCCGCCAACTACCACCACTACCTGCCCGCCAGTCGCTCTCCCTAAGCCCCCAAGCCACCACCACCACAGCCATGACCACCACCACCATCATGGCGGCCACCACCACCATCATGGACACCCCACTACCCTCCCCTATTTCATCCCTAACCCCGGGTACCCTCAGTACCCCCTGCAGCCCCGTGAAACCGAGTACCCACAGCAGGCTTGATAACATGCTAGTTGTGCCAAAGTGGCATAAGGTGCCCGAGTGGCGACCTTTCAACAAACAGGTTATCTAATTTTTGTTCCGGTTCTTGTCTCGATCGTATCTGCGTTCTAGTCAGAGGCTATAGATAAATTCATGACCGCAGAGTTGCGTAGTGTCGAGTGTGAACTGGTTCTCTGGAAGTTCCGAGCTGCAGCACAGGGGCAGCTGTCTAGAAACAGGTAGCTCTTGGCCAGCAAGCGGCCGTTCTCTATGCAGCGTACAAATGCAACTGTGCGCTGAGGACCCCGAGGAGGCGGCTTCAATGGGTATTTCAAACCCTCTCTCCGCAAGGGCGATGCACAGTCCAAAACCCAGGCAGGCAAAGGGAATGTGGCAGTTGATGCAGTCGTTCCTGCAGTGCTGGGGTCTGATCAGAGGATGATGCAGTCGTTCCTGCAGTGCTGGGGTCTGGTCAGTGGAAGGCATGCTGACGTGGGAGCTTGCTGAGAGTCCTGGCTGCCCGTAGGAGAGGCGTTGTGTATCGTCAGCTGCAATGCGGATTTTCAGAAGGGTGAGTCCTTTTCACGGTGAACCTGTCCGGGTTTAGCGCTTCGAGGAGGCAAGTGCGGTAGGTGTTGCAGTCTGCCCCTCTATTGGTGCTGCTTCGGATTTGACTCCTGCCTGCATGCCTGTGCCGCTTCTGGTCAATCCTCCACCCGCACTTCTCCAGGCCAGGAGAGCAAGGACTCGCTGCATTGGTGCTAATTGCTGCCTGCTGAGTGCTTCCGGTCTATTTGTGTGTTTCGCAGGTGGGCAGTTTTGGGTGCCTGGCCCTTTGGCTTACGAGACTCGTCCTTTCGCAGGGATGTGCCTGCTCGCTACAACGAAGCATCAAAGGCAGATTTCCTTTTCTGTCGCAGCGTGTCTAACTGTTCGGTCTCAGGCGCTCACTCAGTCCCCCTTCGATTTTGCGGTCGTGTACGCTGGAGGTGGTACTCAGCTGGTGTGCTGGATGTTTCATCAACTTGACGGTTTGCACTGTCCATATATGCGGTTGCTTTGGCGTGCACGCTGCCGCGCCGGGTCTTATTTTCGCTTCAGGCTGTTATGACGTATTGCATTTACTACTACAACGTATCAGGCCCAGGGGTCGTTTTTGCGTCGGCTTCCTGAACCTGGTTGATTTCCTTGCGTCCAGTTCACCTGGCTTTTGTGTCCGTGGGTTACGCCATGCACCCGTGTGCGATCTTATGGACACGACGGCGTTAGTACGGCTGTCCGTGTTTTGCGGACTTCTTGCCCTGCAACGCTATTGTAGAGCTACGCAGTGTACAACGAATTTGGAGTGTGTGGGCCACCGGCAGCCGCCTTACGTTCAGGCACGGGATTTTCACATGGGTTTTTCTCTAACGCGCGTTTGTATTAATATTGACAGTAACTGAATCCTGAAGCATGTACGTTTTCATTCCTAGCAAGACTTTGCAGAATGGGCTGTGAGTCAGGGTCGAGATACGGACACTGTGCAGGGCTTAGTGCAGCGTTCCTTTTCACGTCTCTTTGAGCGGACTGGCTGCCAAGACGGTGCCTCCACAAAGCACAACCAGTGTGGGGGGTAGAAGATGCGTTTCAGTCTTCCAAGCATAGCCCAAAACCTGCTTTCGCATAGCAGATCGCAAACGCGTGATACCACCAGGTAGGGGAAAGTGCGTTTTCACAACGCTTTCTCACAGAACGTCCCCATCCTGCCTAGCAATTTACTGGCGCCCACCCTCCATATATGGTCACACGCCTTTCTCTGAAACTCAGGTAAGGATGTGCAATGCTGCCTCCCACATGCAGAGAAAGCTTTCCTCAGTGATGGCAGCAGGTTGCGTGAGTTCTTCCAACAGCTCATGGACTCTTCTTCCGTGCTACACGACACGTTAAATGCAAGCAACGCCTCGTGCACTGGATGATTGATGTTTAGACGCAACGCGAGTTGGTACGAGTGCTCACCCAGCTCCAGCGTCGCCGCCAGCACTGCACAAACGGATTGGACCCTTGTTGCCTCGCTATGTTGGCAGGACACTGGGCACGCGGATCTACGTGCAGCAGCTTCTAACGACTGCGGACTCAACTAACCTGCAGTGTGCTGTACGGTGAACAGCACACAACGTCCGCGACGAACTGACCAACCCCGATCGCTAGTTATGAACATTCCGAAACCCCAAAAATTCTGGGTACGATGTGCCTATTACTGATATGCTCTTATTCATTGGTCCCCGAAGGAAATGTACAAATCTGGAGCCGTTAGGAGCCTTGCAACAAGTGGTAAGTACACTGGGCGGAGGCACACGCCTGTGGGGAGTTCTATCTCCTGGTCTATCGTCAGGGGTAGTTCGCGTGGCGCGAGCCTGTCTCTTTTGCCCTTCGTTGGTACCTGTCTCTCCTCATCTCCAACTGCTCACAACGGAAATTTGCTGAGAAACAGGTCGCGTGGGTTGTGTAGATGTGCATCAGATAATATTATCTGCCTTACCAGGTAACCATTCAGGATCAGGTAGCTCCGAAGAGGTATTCCGATTCTGGGCGGATTCTGGGCGAGCTCGACAATGAAGACATTCGTTGCTCTCGCTGCTGCTTTGGCCGCAACGATCCCCTTCTGCAGGGCTGATGATGTCAGCGCTACCGAGCCCATAGTCGCCTTCATGCAGCAGGATGCCGCTGTGGAGGCTCTGCAAGCCGATGAGCCCACCGCTGTAGCCGTTGAGGAATCTGAGGGTGCGACTCCCCGCGTATTCTTTCTAGACAAGCTCCTTGCAAAGTTCCTTCTGGCCAAGCTTACAGCAGCAAAGACCCAAGCTCCCACGACCACCGAACATCACCACACCCATCTCTACCCCACCACCACCATAACCACCCTCATTACCCCTTCTACCCCTACTACTAACATGAGTACCCAGAACTTCCAACCTTGGTAACTTTCCAACGTGCCAAAGCGGCATGGGCTGCCCAACGGGCCAGCTTTGAACAGACAGGTTTATGCAACTCTAAGTCTTTTGTGATTGCTTCACTGCGTATACTTTATACGGTAGTCCGAGTGGTCAGGTCAATAGGCAGACCAGAGACAATTTTAGCAGTAGGCGCATCACAACTCAGCTCAGCCCACTTTATGAGTGCGTCCTTCTGCCAGTTACGCACGTCGCTGAATGCCTAGCTTCTGCGAGCAACTACCTGTTCCTTGTCTCCTGCGTGCGTGGTTCTATGAGTCAGCTGACAGTGACAGGTAAGTCATATGGCCGCATTTTTTAGCACATTGCGGGATCATGGGATGCAGCGGAGTCACCCTATGCATTTAAGGTACCTGTGCCTTTTATGGTTTTGTGGATCTGCAAGTGAATGGTGGCGAGCAGCCTGCTTAGCGCGTGGCAAGCCTTTTGTAGCTCGGGTACCAGAATATTGAAGGATATGTGACTTGTGCCGGGTCTAGTGTCTCAGCGGGTTTGTCGCTGCAGTCGGTAGCTCCAGATGTCGATTATTTTCTGCCTCGGACCTGCAGTTCCGTTTTGTCTGCGCACTCGTGCAGAGCTGAGAAGCAGCGTACATTTCGACTCCGCAAAGCTTACCAGATTGACGGCACTGCCTTTCGTTCTAGGTGCCGGCAGGAGACCACGGGACAAAGGGACCTTTCCGGCCAACAGTCGGAGTATCGCGCTGATCAAGATTTGAAGAGCCTGTTCGTCATCTAGTCGAAGTGCGGGCTTGTTGCTGTCCTTCCCCCCGCTTTGAAGTATCAATCCGTCCGAATTTGGAGCGCTGGGGTTTCTCAAGTGGGCCTCCCTGTCGTCTTCTCGTCGGGCGAGCGAATGCCTTTTCAAGGTATAGCGCTTACAGGTGTACCTGCTGAAGCCTTTACAAGACGATTGTAGATGAGTAGTGCTTCCCTCCTCTAGCATGATTTGTTGACTCAAAGGCGGCTATTGGTGCTTAATCTCGACCAGAAGCACGTATTTATCTCGTGGGGTCCAACAAGCTTATCCAAGTCTTGGCTTATTGTGATGCCTCTCCAGCAGACGAATGGATGATCCCCATTCACTGCGAAATCTTCCCAGCGCTACTTAAAGTCACATTAAGTGCACTCTGCCTTGTCGCTACAACTCAGGCAGTTTCGTCCTCGCAGTCAAGTCTGCCATCGAAATCATTGCCATACAATGCCGCGGAACTATATTCCCGCATGCTTACCGCAAAGCTCCCATAGCGTTGTTTCCCGTTGTCCGCCGTATAAAAACTTTCAACTCAACTGGCACCTGGTCACTAGCTTGCCAAGAAACTTCATGAAGTGAAAGCTGAGCGCATATGGGGCAGCGGCTCCGTGTCCAAGCAAAGGACTACCGAAGCTGGAGGAAGCATGCCGAGGCTGCATGTCCATAAAGTGTTGCTTTATGTTGCCGACGGTTGTCATGTATAGACGCTGATCATTCAATTATCACATCTTGCGTTCTCAGTCTTAAAGGCTTTGCAGCATCAGCCGTGACTCAGAGTCAAAACATGGACACTGTGCCTGTCAGCAGCACTCCAACCCACGCATAGCAAGGACGCTGTGCAGTTTCTTTTCACGCCTCTCTGCGCAAAAGCGGTGCCAGGGCTCGCAAGTGCAAACCAAAACCTGTTTATGCTTTGGATACCGAAGATGGGTGATGCCGCCATGTGGGGGAATTGCCTTTTCACAACGCTTTCTCACAGAACATCCCCATCCTGCCTAGCAATTTACTGGCGCCCACCCTCCATATATGGTCACACGCCTTTCTCTGAAACTCAGGTAAGGATGTGCAATGCTGCCTCCCACATGCAGAGAAAGCTTTCCTCAGTGATGGCAGCAGGTTGCGTGAGTTCTTCCAACAGCTCATGGACTCTTCTTCCGTGCTACACGACACGTTAAATGCAAGCAACGCCTCGTGCACTGGATGATTGTTTAGACGCAACGCGAGTTGGTACGAGTGCTCACCCAGCTCCAGCGTCGCCGCCAGCACTGCACAAACGGATTGGACCCTTGTTGCCTCGCTATGTTGGCAGGACACTGGGCACGCGGATCTACGTGCAGCAGCTTCTAACGACTGCGGACTCAACTAACCTGCAGTGTGCTGTACGGTGAACAGCACACCACTTCCATGTACTTGCCACTTGTTGCCGCTTATTGCAAGGAGCGGGATTGTGGTCAGTTCACCAGAAGCCCGCTCCTTGCAATAAGTGGCAAGTACACTGGGCGGCAGCGCACGCCTGTGGGGAGTTCTCTTTGATCAATCACTTCGCGGACTGGGGAAGACAATTGCTCATAAGCTGTACTCAAACCTAGCTCTGCGACATCCCTGCAGTTCTTTTGGACTAAACGTGCCATTGTTACAGACGCCGGACGCCGTAGCTGCTTTGGTGCCACCAGATTGCAGCTGGAAGTCAAACGGATAAAGGGGACGCGGCTCGTTTCATTGTCAGCACTAACCTCGCCTTGAATTGTTAAATTGTTCACGTCGCCTTTATAAGAGCAGTCTGGAAAGGCGATGCTTAACATTCAGTTGTCTCTCAAGTATGCTGAAACAGTCACTAGACTATAACGTGACCACGCACGGCTGCAGGCTTTCCGGATTAAGGCAAGCACGGCCATGAGCCGTCGGCACTGATTTGAAAGCCGATGCGGAGCGTGCGCACGTCCCACTGCTGGCACAGCCCTTGGAACAAGGACATCACACAGTCAACACTGTAGCAAAGGAGATGCTCTCCACTTGTCTTTTGTTTGATACACTAAGAGCGATGTCCTTTCATTTGTGAATCCTCGTAAAGGCTGATTGTCAACTTGAGGCGGGCGATGACTTATTAGTTACTGAACTGGGTTGCATGCCCTTTGTTCACCTTATAAAGAGCTTACAGCGCTGAATTCATCCCGCTTTTGCGAATGCTTGCTTCTGGCTGCTGCAGAGCAGAGGCAGTGCAACACCAATTTAGAGGCTTCTCCTTGCCATATGGAAGTCCGTTATTCAGGTGGAGGTTCCTTGAAAAGCCTCGTATTAGTGCTGCAGCAGAAGCAGGAGCTCAAACCTGCCCTACGTGCAGTATAGATGTTCACTTTCCGTTGAAGGCAGTAATAGAATAATGTAGACAGTAGTCCCAGTTACTGCATTATGTTGAACCCACCCGAGTTCTCCCCAATTCCGAATGAGGCAGGAAACAAACCTTTCGAAATAGGCAGAACAGAACCAGCTTTGTTTAAAGCTCCAGCTGAACCTACAATTTCTGACACCAAGACAACTTTGTTAGGGCCTGCTGGCCCTGTAGCTATCAGCAAAGAGAAAAGGGAATAAAATAGTTCAGCACATTGCAAATACAGTTTACTCCGCACTGTTTGCCTCTTTTATGGGTTCGCCTCTGTAGTACCTTCGATAAGCTGGAAGTTAGCTTTGGGGCTCTTGGGGATTGACACTGTCACATTAAAAATATGAAGCGTGCATACCTGCATGCACGTTCATCCGCTATAAGCGTCAATGCTCACTGCAGTGGCACGATTTTGCGGGCACTTCATCTGTCTAGACTTCAGGATGTTGTGCTGTGAACTCGTGTCAAATTTGTGTAAGAGGGCAAATGAACATACAGGTAACAGTCGTCCGCGTTCTTGGTCACAGGGCTTGTAAAACATCAGTATATCCACCTGATATAGACGTCAGCAGTCGCTCGAAAGCATCGATATACCATGCCCTGCAGGAAGGACTTCATTGCTGCCTATGCCTTCCATCTTTGAACCTAGCACGGAGCAAATTCCTTGTCCAGTTTCGCGGTGGCAATGGCTATGTGAGCAACTAGATTATGGGGCTGAGCTAGACCATCTCATTTAAGCTTTAAGTGCATTGCGGTCTTAATGCTGGTAAGAGCGTGCGTTTTGGTGAATGTTGTGCAAATATTTGTTGTCCGTAGCGCTTTGCTTGGCCTCTATGCCGTTGATGTCGTTCAGTGGAAGCTGAATGGAAAAATGCAGCATTTCCAACCAGAGCAACATGTAACCAACTGAGACACAGACAGGACAACCTTCTGCAGAACATTACACAAACTACAGCTTTTTGTTAGAAGTATTCTTGCAAAGTCAGCTACATTCTTCGGACTCAGTTCTTGGGTAGGAAGGTGATCCATCGGAACGGCAAGTACACGTCTGCGCAAACCTATTGTTTCGTAGCCCCTGTAAAATTCCCGTCTTCCCCTTCTAGCCAGTGGAGTCCGGATTTTTTCTAACAAGTATGTTGTCATTGTCGTGCAAAGAATTTTCTTAGTAGGTGGACGCTCTGGCTGAATTGAGCAGATGTGGCTGTGTTGTCTCCCGCACTGCCAGCCCGAGCGTGGCGCTGGCCGCCGCTCATCCCGTGCTTCCGCCATACTTGTGTCTAGTATAACAGCGCAGTGCTTACCCGGGCGTATAATCACTGAAACCTGAACTGTCAGTGTGACAGTTTGTCTGCTGTCCGGCCAGGCCTCCGCCTGAGCCCAAGCACAGAACATGACCCACTTTGTCTAAACGCTAAATTGCAGCTCCTCGTCTCCCGAACTCCAGGAATAGGGTATTTAAGGCGAGCAGAAAGCTCTCAGTTGCAATGTGGCGGCAAATGCTCTCGCTTCAAATGTGCCGAGACAGACGCCAGTCATGAGACCTTTCTATATGCTTGGCTACAGCATGTGCCGAGATTTATTGATTCAAGTGCCTCAAAACCTTAGGATTGAAACCAAAACTTGAAGCAGGTGTGATGGCGAAGGAGAAAGAGCGCCTCCGCTGCTTCACGTGCGACGAAAATCTCGTCGCGATAGCCGTGCGCGAGGCGTCGCGAGTCTTCGAGCATCCTCCCCAAAGAAATGTGTAGCGAGTGCAGCAAATCTCCTTGAGCAGGTGTGGTGGATTGCTAAAACAAGGTCGCTTGGGGCGACGAACGGGGGCATTTCGTAGCCCACT